CCGTTTCATGAAAAAAGTCACCAAGTTTTTGTCTCTGTCCTCTGATTGGCCGATTGTCCCATGACGTAGTGAATGTAACGGGATACTTAAAGTTCATAGAAAAAAGCTCAGAATTGCCCTCTTTTCCACAGGCAATTCATTATTAACGCTCTTATCCTTATAACATATAAAAAAAACAATTTTAAATGTGCTCTTGTCACTCTCTCTTTGTCGTTTCATTAGCTACTAGCTAGGCAAGATTGTTGTCTGTGTTGCTATGGTGACCAGCAGTCTAAGCGCCAACAGGGTTAAAGGGTGAATTAGCAGTTCTACATTAACTCCAGTGTTTTAGACCATTTAGTGTTAAACTGTGTTGAATGATCAGCAGAGCTTTATTTTACTGCAAAGGAGGATTATTTTATTTTTACCTAAATATCTAATTCTGATGTTTAGCCACAACGGGGCAGTAAAGAGCCGCAAATGGTTCTGGAGCCGCATGTCTGCTGTAGACAAACACTGGCAGTAGAATGGCTCGTAATAATGAGCTCAGTGATTTTAAACAGCACTGTCATAGGATGCCACCTTCACCACAAGACAGCTCATGAAATTTCTGCCCTGCTAGATCTGCCCTGGTCCACTGTAAGTGCCATTATTGTGAAATAGAAGCACCTAGGAACAACAACCGCTCAGCAACGAAGCAGTAGACCATGCAAGCTCACTGAGCGGGGCTGCTAAGTGCAGAAGCATGTAGGATGTAAAAGCTCCTATCCTCTGTTGCATCTCTCACTACAAAGTTTCAAACTGCCTCTGGAAGCAACATCAGCACAAGAACTGTGCATCGGGACCTTTATGCAATGAGTTTCCATGGCAGAGCAGCTGCACACAAGCCTGTCACTATGTGCAAAGCCAAGTGTTAGCTGGAGTGGTGTAAAGCCACTGGACTCTGAAGCAGTGGAAACGTATTCTCTGGAGTGATGAATCACACTTCATAACCTGGCAGGCTGATGGATGAATCTGGCTTTGGCAGAATGCTTAACGTCAACAGTAAAGTTTGGTGGAGGGGGGATAATGGACTGGGGCTGTTTTTTCAGGGTTTGAGCCCCTTTTGTTCCAGTGAAGGGTGATAATAATGCTACAGCACACAAAGACATTTTAGACAATTATTTGCTTTCAACTTTGTAGCAGCAGTTTGGGGAAGACCCTTTCCTGCTCCAGCATGACTGAGTCCCTGTGCACAAAGCAAGCTTCATAAAGACATGGCTTGACAAGTTTGGTGTGGAGGAACTCCATTGGCCTGCACAGAACCCTGACCTCAACCCCACTGGGGATGAGCTGGAACAGTGATTGCAAGCCAGACCTTCTCATCCAACATCAGTGTCTGACCTCACAAATGCTCTTTTGACTGAATGGGCACAAATTCCCACAGACACACTAGAAAATCTTGTGAAAAGCTTCCCAGAAGTGTAGGGGCTGTTATATCTGCAAAGGGGGTCGCTTCCGTATTAATGCTCATGGTTTTGGAATGTTGATCAAGCTCATATAGGTGTGATAATCAGGTGTCCAAATACTTTTGGCCATATATTTTATAGTCACTTTCATCACAAAACCTTTGTTCACTGAAAAACACCTTTATTGAAGAGGAAAAAAGAGCTTTATTTTTTATCTATGTACCACTGGAAGCTGAAAAAATATATTTTTATTATTTAATTAGGCAAATCCATTTTGTTGTTTCTCTTGTAGGCACCAGACACAGCTACATACATACAGGCAGTGACGTGTACAGTCCAGCAGGGTCAACTGTAATGATAATACCCCTTTCTCTGAGCCAGAGTGCTATCTATAGCCCCTGAATGACTGTAAGTGGAATCAGCTGAGACTGAGAGTAGAATGATATATCAGCACTGTCTGAAAAAAACACACACATCCCTGTTTTTTCTGTATCATTGAAAATGTCATGATAAATGGACTGATAGAAGGGATTACTTGGAATACAATCTCTGTACATTAACTTACCTTGAAAGTTAAAGACCGTTTTTGCCTTCCCCTGTATATTTTACTATATTTGGAGATACATGTTTTTGTTTGGACAGTGTTATATATGTACCTGTATGCACCTATCAATAATCATTCCATAATTGTTGGTTGTTGTTTTTTATTTTTATTTTTTAACTGGAAAGTGCTAGCGGCATTTGTGTTACCATTTCATGATACATATATATATATGTATATGTGTGTGTGTGTGTGTGTATGTATATATATATATATATATATATATATATATATATGTACATATATATATATATATATATATATATATATATATAATGTGGCGAGTGGTGTACTTGGCAGTCTGATGGACGAGTCTGGGTTTGGTGAGGCCAGGAGAACGTTACCTGCCTGACTGCATTGTGCCAACTGTAAAGTTTGGTGAAGGAGGGATGATGATATGGGGTTGTTTTTCAGGAGTTGGCTTAGGCCTCTTAGTTCCAGTGAAGGGAAATCTTAATGCTTCAGCACCAAGACATTTTGGACACTTGCATGCTTCCAACTTTGTGGGAACAGTTTGGGGAAGAACCTTTTCTGTTTCAGCATGACTGAACCCCAGTGCACAAAGCAAGGTCCATAAAGGCCTGGCTGGGTGAGTTTGGTGTGGAAGAACTTGACTGGCCCTCACAGAGCCCTGACCTCAACCCCATCCAACACCTTTAGGAGTAACAAAAATGGAGATTGAGAACCAGACCCTCTCGTCCAACATCAGTGTCTGACCTGAATGGGCAAACACTACCACAGACACACTTCCAAAGCTTGTAGAAAGCTTCCCAGAAAAGTGGAAGCTGTTATAGCTGCAAAGGGCGGGCCAACTCCATTTTAATGCCTATGGATTTAGAATGGGATGTCATAAAAGCTCCTGGGGGTGTAATGTGTAGGTGTCCCAATACTTTGTCCATATAGTGTGTGTGTGTTTGTGTGTGTGTGTGTGTGTGTGTGTATATATATATACACACACACACACACAAAACGTCAGGACACTTTTGTCCTCTTCGCTCTGATGTACAGCAGCCGGAGTATGAAATCTGAGAGTATTAGTTCTGCTGTCCAATCATAAATGTGGTTTTTGCAGATGATATTCTATCCGTTCCGCTGGATCACAATACCGTCTCTGTGACATTTTGACTTTGCAGTTTAAAAACAGTGTTGATGAATGAAGCGCAGTGTTTCTTAATTCTTCTTCTTTCTTCATTCTTCTTCAGCATGAATGTGTGTGTGATAATTAATGTTCAGCAGGAGGCTGAAAGATGGATTATTCTGGACAAGAACGATACACTTCAGTGCACACCTGGATAGATTTATCTAAGACTTAATGTCTGTTGAAATGTCTGATATGTGGTCAACCACTGGATAGTTTTATGTACTTTAGGATTTTTTTTAGCCCAGTTTGTCTACAGGCCTATACTGTAAAAAGCTCTTTAACAGAGCTCTGAGTTCTTTATGATTTCTTTTGTGAAAATGAGTCTTTTTAGATTTGAAGCACCTCACCTCACCTCACTCACTCACTCACTCACTTACCCACTCACTCGCTCACTCACTTACCCACTCACTCGCTCATGTTTAGCAGCCTAAAACTGTTAGCACTCAGATAACTGTGGGTGCAGAGCTTCGCATCAGTGTCCCTGTTAAAATATGGGATTATAGATTATACTGAGCTGCAGAAAAGTTTAAATAGATGTTCAATAACAGCAAATTGTAACTGTGATTTTCTGTAATTAATCATAATTAATCACATTTCAACTGAGCAACTACGATACCTGTATATGTGTATGAAAAATTATAAAAGTTTTTATACACATATGCAGGTATCATAGTTGCTCAGTTGAAATGTGACTAATTACAGAAAATCACAGTTACAATTTGCTGTTATATTTGCATATCATCATTGTTGGGACAAAACCTTGTATCTCTGTTTTTGTTTTTTGTTTTTATTTTTTACAGAATTTATATTTATATATATGAAATTTCATAACAAATGAACCAGTAATGGTCTCTCGTTCCATTATCTTCCATTTAAAATTAAGAACCTTTGTCCTTCTCCTGTTAAAGTTATCATTATGAAGATTGTTCCGACAGATATATTTGTGCATATAAAGCATGGTGCAAAGGGAGAGATTACTCTTTATTTAATTTAAAGTCAAAACAGCCATTAAGTACAGTTTATTCATTTTCAGGAGATATTTCTGAGGAGATTAGACATAAGATCATTCCCTTGCAGAACGAAGAAAAAAGTCAAAACAAAATAAGTGGAGTTTCCAAAACCGGAGTTCAAAAAATTATTAAAAGCTACAGAGAAAATGGGACTCCTAACAACCACCCGGAAGACCTGGTAGACACCAAAGCTTACATCTTTGAGAGAGAGGTGAAAATAAAGCTGCTTCAGATCTGAAAACATCCACAGGTGTTTCTGTCCATCCTTCCACTGTGAGAAGACGACTCAGCGCTATGGGTCTGAAAGGATGTGTAGCTGTCAAGAAGAACCTCACTGAGAAAAGGAGACGGACACATCAAACAAAGAAGCTGAACAATGGACTGACCACCCCAGAGTCCAGACCTCAACACCACTGAATTTGATTATTTGGATTGTGAGAAGCAGAAAATGCTAAACTAACTTCTAAGACTGAACTTTGGAGGCGTGTCTGCAGTTTTCTTTGAGAAACTGAAAGTGAGTCTCCTGAAAAGAATGAAAGCTGTAATAAAAGCAAAAGTGGACACACTAAATACTGAAAAATCTGATATTATGTTTAGTTGTTGCAGTTCTTCTCTGACTTTTGTACAGTACAGTGAATTATATCCCAATGGTCAGTAGGAAAGGTCTGTTAAGGCCTTTTATACTGTTATTTATATGCCGTCTTTGGGCGATTTGAACTGTTTGTTTGTTGTTTGTTTGTTTGTTCTTTATAGATGTACGTTGAGATTGTGCCTCATTTCTGTTTCTAATGTCTTTGCTTCTTTTGCTCCTGTCTCTCCAGTCAGACACTGAATTCTGGGATAAGATGCAGGCGGAGTGGGAGGAGCTCGCTCGGCGGAACTGGCTGGAGGATGGAGAGAGTGAAGGCCTGATTCCGCTCAGCGTTTCGCCCAATGAAATGGTACAGCATCATCCAAACAACCCTCAGCTAACGGAGAAGAAGTGGTTTACATCAATGTCCCATCAGAGGGAGCTGTAGGCCAGCAGGCCTTTCATTACCACCTAATGAGAAGGGCTTAGAATCGTCCAATAGGGAAGCAGCATATGAGTATGAGCCTCTTCATTTGCATATTTTCTAACTGATTATTTTGGGCATTCACAACTGATACAGCAGTAGATTATCACTTCAAAGGTTATAGACTCCAGATGCCAGATAATGCTTCCTTTCATCTAAAATTCTCTCTCATCTGCCCGCATTGTGTGAGTCGGAGCAGATGGCAGGAAAAGCATTGAAGAAGACAAAGCAGACGCTGACGCAATTAAGCATAAAACATTACTTTTCAGCATATGTATATATATATATATATATATATATATATATACACACACATGTATAATGTATACATGTGTATACATGTGTGTGTGTATATATATATATATATATATATATATATATATAAAATGCATCTGTATAATTGTGTGTGTGTGCGATTACACCGATATTCTTCCAAAGCTTTCCGAAATACATTTTAGGTTGTTTTTTAGCTTCTTTATCCAAAATCTGAAGGCTGAGTGATGTTTTGTTGTTGGCTGTGTTGTAAATAAAGCATACGGCTTTGCTGAGAGGTGTTGGTTCCCGTGCCCTTCTCTTCTCCACATGCTCTCTCTGAGCATGATTCCACTTCCCCTGCAATATTAAAGAGCCCAGCATGATCCAATTATCAACATACTGCCATCCACCTCTCCAGATCTATTAAAAGATTAAAAACAGGCCTGTGCTTAAGCTTAAGTAATGCGGAACAATATTAATCACCAGCTCTCTTTTGGAGACTTGACTTGAAGTGATAGTTCGGCAAAAAATCAAATTGAGATGATTTTTCCCGTTAACAGAAATGTAGCCCGAAGTAATATTTGTTGCTCAAAGTTTGATGTCAGTTGGCAACGTGCAAACTGCACAGCTAAATCATTACGTACATGTCCTGGCTGAATGAAGTTTGTCCTTTTTTGCTGCAGTAACAGCCTCTACTCTTCTGGGAAGGCTTTACACTAGATGTTGGAACATCACTGTGAGGGTTTGATTGCATTCACCCATTAGTGAGGTCAGGTACTGATGTTGGATGATCAGTTCCGGATCTCCAACTCATCCCAAAGGTATTGAATGGAGCTCCATCACTCCAGAGAAAACAGTTCCACTGCTCCACAGCCCAGTGCTCGGGGGCTTTATACCCCTCTAGCTGACATTTGGCATTAGTGACCTTAGACTCACTACTACATCCCATTCTACTGATCAGTGCTTTTCTGGGGACATTATATGTTTATGCACAACTGAAGAGAAAAATGGTGTAAATTTGATATTTGGACAAATTGTTGCTTTAACTGGGTTCACTTTGTTGGTTGTAGGGTTACTACTTCCACATGGACAACCCATATAAAGAGTGGCCCAATGCGTTTGAGGAGGGAGTTCAGAAAGGCCGTGAAGGAGACCTGAACAGCGCTGTTCTGCTGCTAGAGGCGGCCATCCTGCAGGACCCGCAGGATTCAGAGGTGCGTGCTCGCTGTAGCTGGTGTCATTTCAGGATGTAATGATATGACGCTTGTCCAAAACCTGAAATCCTATCAATCAGTTTTATCTTTCTGCCTCAGTTTCCCTGCCAGCACTATAAATCAGTACATCTGCTGCTGTTTTAATCGCTAAGCTGCTCCCTCACCACCCCCCCCCCAACTGCCCACCATACCCACATCCTCCTGCTATTCCATATTTTATTCCCCTTAATGTGCTGACATGCTTGCATATCATAATAGATTTGTCGCTGTCTCTCTCAAGGCTTGGCAGGTGCTGGGGACCACACATGCTGAGAACGAGAACGAGCAGGCAGCCATCGCCTGCCTACAGAGGTAAAAAGACAATTCAGCTCAATTCAGTTAGACGGACCATATCACCAAAAAAAAAAACAAATCCCCTTGCTTTTTTGAAATAAAAGAGTTTGATGAAGTATGTAAACAATAAAGTTTCAAACTGTACAGTCCATACTATCCATATAGGGAAACTAGGCTGCAATAACAACTTGTTTTGTTTTTGTGATGTCATAAAAAAAACATTTGCATATATTTGACTATACCACCAACAGCAGTTTAGCCCCACCCATTCACTCTGAAGTTACAAGGAGTGTTTCAACTCTGAGTGCTTTTTGAGCAAGGCACTATACAGAGCAGCCAATCAAAACAGAGCTCATTTACATATCGCTGTTGTCGGAAGAAAACCTCATATCTCCAAAATAGTAACTTTACAGGAGAAGGAAAAAACATACTTTACTTTTAATGTAAGTCAATGGAAACAGACTTTTTTCCAAGTAATTTTGGGCCGTTTCTTTTGGTCCATTCATCATGAAATTTACACACAATGTAAAGAGCAACAGGCCTTTTCAGATTAGGTCAAAAACTGAAAACGACAAAAATGGAGAAACAAGGTTTTTTTTATGACAGCAGCGATATGTCTGTATATAAAGGTACAGCAACAAAAACAGTTACATTTTTTCTTATTAGGGATAAACAGAGGTTGGAAAATTGTCATGTAAAGTGAATTATGACTCTTTTTGCTGCATAAAACCACAAATGCTATGAGGGTAAAAATACAATACAAGACAAAATGTAGGATATGGTCCCTTTAAATTCTGTTTATATAGCAACATACAAGTCCCAGAAGAAGCTTTCCAGAAATGTGGGTCCAGAACCCTAATGAGCAAGTCATTCTTCATCTTGGACACATCTAAAAGTTCGTAGCCTCTTAAGCTCCTTGGAGCCACCGGTGGTTCCAAAACGCACTTTGTCATATTCTTCATAACTTCATAACAAATAGATGGACAAACCAAAATATACTCATAAGCGGTTAATATGCGTCCCTCAAATTACTTGAAATGTATTAAAATTCCACCAATTTTTGTGGAATTTTAATATATATATATATATATAAATATATAAATCTATTTGAAGCTTCAAATAAAATGTGTGGAATGTCTTTTATAAGATTCAGATGTGTTTAATTAACAGTGGCCAAAAGTGGTTAGTGCAAACATATTATTGGAAACACCATCGGAGCACCAGTGGAAATTAGCTTTACTATGAAGGGTTTTTTTTCCCCTTTTTTGTCCACGTTTTCATATTTATGCCCTGAAATGAAGGCCTAGCTCTGATAGTCATGGTTCACCACTTAATACTACAATAATATCAGAATCATTTTATACATGTATCTACAACCAAATTGGTTTTCTATCATTAAAATAGTTATTTCCTGTCTTTTAAGCAGTTATGCATTTGGCTGAGGGCTGCAGGACAGCAGGGTCCTGTTATTGACGCATGTGACTCCACATGTTCATGACACAGATTTAGCTTTTTAATTTCCCATAATCCGGGAGGATTATATGCTTTTCAGTTATTCGACAAATCGCGTGGCCTACCTTAACATGTTTCCCAGCTAGACTTTATCTTTCTTAAATCCTTTAAGCCTTCAAACAGAAGTAGTCAAAGCAGCATTGACACTGAATGTATTGATGTACTGTATGCTGTATGTTCAAGTAAATGGACTATAAAAGAATGCATTAACTTTGCTATAAATAGACCAAAGATTCTGCACTAGTTATGGGTTGCTATTTAAATTGAAGCACATTTGTGACACTGACCATATTAAAGAGCTCATATCATTTTTGATGTGTGTTATTTTTGTGATGTGTTGTTTTATGTACTAAAAACAGTCATAATTCACTTCTACATGACCATTTTCCAACCTCTCTTTATCCCTTAGAATTAAACAGGCTGTTTTTGTTTCTGTGCTTTGAGACTGACATATATGTAAATGAGCTTTGTTGTAATTGGCTGCCCTGTATTGCGCTTCATTTAAAAAAGCAGTCTGAGCTTAGGCACTCCCTAAAACTTCGGTGTGAACGGGCGGAGCTAAACTGCTGTAGGCAGTGAATCACACTTTCTGGAAAATTGGGTTTTCCATGCTATGGGCCCTTCAAGGTCTTTTCTTGAGTCTTATCCCCTGTTGAAGCTCATGTTCAGATGATTCTTAGGTGGACTTGGATCTACTCTTTCAGAGGCTTTTCCACAAGATTGTGGAGTCCATGACATCTCGTGCATGCTGTCATTAAAGCACAAGGGAGACATACAGTTGTATGCAAAAGTTTGGGCACCCTGATCAATATTTTGTTTATTTTCTAAGTGAAGATAAGTGAACACATCCTCTGCAGAGAACACACTCCTGCACATTTTAAGCACTATTAGTGTTTATTTGATGAATTTAACATATTGGAAAAAAAATAAAACATAAAATGTAGGCTGTGCAAAAGTTAAGCAATTTTATGTTTTATTTTTTCCAGGTTCTCAGCCAAAAAATAGAAACTGTGCAGTACAGTTAGCTGAAAAATGCCATATTTAAGTGTGTTTTCTGTAGAAGATGTGAACTTATTTTCACTAGAAAATCAACAAAACATGGAATCTGACCAGCGGTGCCAAAAGCTGATAAATTCTGAAATGAATGTAAATAATAAGGTTCTACTTTTCACTCAAATTGTTATGCTGAAAATTTTGGACCCCCACTGGACTTTTGGACCCACTGTAATTACAGACTGTAGCCCATCTGTTGCTGGACAGTTTATCAGGCCCCATCTTTGGTCAGTTTCTGCTGTTGACCAGATAATCTTTGGGTGGTGGATCATTCTCAGCACAGCACTGACCACCCACAAATGTCCAGCCAAGAGGGGCTCTGTGGTCAGATGAAGGGCTTAAGGATATCTGAGTATATCTGAGTATATCTGAGTATATCTGACTAATGTGTTGTTGTTCTTGCTATACTGTTTTCTTTCCTTGCACTTTTCCAGGTGTGTGGAGCTGCACCCTAATAACCTGAGTGCACTGATGGCTCTGGCTGTCAGTCTGACAAACGCAGGGCAGCAGCAGGAGGCGTGTGAGGCGCTGCACCGATGGATCAGACACAACCCCGCCTACAGGCACCTCCTACAGGACCGCAGCCCACTGGACGGCTCTCCGCTGCCCAAACGCAGGGGCTCCTCCGTCTCCCCCATCTCCAGCCTCGGATGGTATGCTCCACTTCTTACAAAGCAATGCCCATCTGACTAGGCTGGATACAGACTGCAACTCAGTCGGTCTGTACAGTCGTATGCAAAATTTGAACACCCCTGGTCAAATGACGTTTTGTTGATTGTAGTGAAAATAAGTTAACACACACTCTACAGAGAACACATTTAATGTGGCATTTTTTTTGCAAATTTTAGTGCACACTTTCTATTGATTTGATGGGTTTTATATATTGGAAAATATTTAACATGTGCCGTACCTTTTGCACAGGCCACATTTTATGTTTTACTTTTTTTTCAGTATGTTAAATTAAAGAAATAAAATAAAACTATTTGTTCATTAACCCTTAGAACCCTAAAATTTTGGGGATTTTGTTGGTAGATTAGGTCCATTACACTTACAATTGTAATTATAAAATATTTACATGAGACAGTCACACATGCCATATGTTGTTATTTTCAGGAGACTCTGGGCTACTCAGACATGCCATTGTTTGACATGTAAATGCTAACAGAAATTTGATATCTTTATGAATTTGGTTAATTTTTGATCAAAAATTGCTAAATTTTGTAATTTTTTGCTTATAGAGATCTTGAAAATAAGTGACACCTCAGAAACCTTTTCAGAAATTATTAGTCTGGATTGTCTGTGAGCTGAAAGTGCAAGAATTCTGATGGTGATTCATTCTATTGGTTATTATTGAGCAAAAAAAACAGTTAGCAAGGTGGCCATGTTTTGTATTGATATTCTGTCCTCTTGGATTCATGCTGAGTGCTAAAACTCTGATACACAGCCTTTATTTTTAATTACAATTTGAGTTGCATATTTATCATATAATATATATATATATATATATATATCATATATATCATAATACATCAGATATTTTTAATACTCAAAATCAATGTAAACTGAAAGACAGGGCTGAATATTATTAATTTTATAAAAATATTTGTCATATTTATTGCTATTTATCTGTTAAAATGTGTTTTAGGGCCTGTTTTTGTGATTTTGAGGGAAAGAGGGAAAGTGCACTCAGTGTAGTGGATTGGGACAAGGCCATTTTGTCGCCTTTTTTGCATTTTTGTGTTCTTACGTGTATTTAGCTGTAAATTTCTGATTATCAGCACTAAACTCAGAGTCTGAGTCAAGCAGAAGACTGTTTGAGACACGAGGAGAGGTTTTAGGTCATACATGTGGAGTTTACACATTAAATGGGCCTTTAAATGGAGGTAAATGCAGAATCTGAACGGTGGTTTTCTGAACTGGATTATTGACCGAATCATCAATCAGATCTTTACAGAGTCACTCTGGACACACAGGGTAAGTCCTGATGGTCAACGTGATGTGTGAATTGCGTCGCTGTTTTAAAATGTGCGGAAGTGTGTTCTCTGTAGAGGATATGTTCACTTACACCAATCAGGCATAACATTATGACCACCTCCTTGTTTCTACACTCATTGTCCATTTTATCAGCTCCACTTACTATATAGGTGCACTTTGTAGTTCTACAGTTACAGACTGTAGTCCATCTGTTTCTCTGCATACTTTGTTAGCCCCCTTTTACCCTGTTCTTCAGTGGTCAGGACCCCCATGGACCCTCACAGAGCAGGTGCTATTTGGGTGGTGGATCATTCTCAGCACTGCAGTAACACTGACATGGTGGTGGTGTGTTGCGCTGGTTGAGTGGATCAGACACAGCAGTGCTGCTGGATTTTTTAAACACTGTGTCCACTCTATTAGACGCTCCTACCTTGTCAGTCCACCTTGTAGATGTAAAGTCAGAGACGATAGCTCATCTGCTGCTGCACAGTTTGTGTTGGTCATCCTCTAGTCCTTCATCAGTGGTCATAGGATGCTGCCCACAGGACGCTGTTGGCTGGATATTTTTGGTTGGTGGACTATTCTCAATCCAGCAGTGACACTGAGGTGTTTAAAAACTCCAGCAGAACTGCTGTCTGATCCACTCAGACCAGCGCAACACACGCTAACACACCACCACCACGTCAGTATTACTGCAGTGCAGAGAATGATCCACCACCCATATAGTACCTGCTCTGTGAGGGTCCATGGGGGTTCTACAAAGTGCACCTATATAGTAAGTGGAGCTGATAAAATGGACAATGAGCGTAGAAACAGGTCATAATGTTATGCCTGATCGGTGTATTTTCACTTAGAAAATCAAAAACAAAAATGTAATTTCTCTAGGGTGCTTAAACTGTACACAAATGTAAGATGATTTTATTGCAGGAAGGCCAGGTCATCGTGAAATGTTCGCACAGTGTAAAGGAGAGCTCATGTTTTCAAGTGGTGTCTAAAAATAAAAAACAAACTGAGTTTTGATCTGACAGTGGAGATATATTTAGTGCATTCACCCAGCTTAGCAGTCGGGTTCAGCTGTGGGTTCACTGCTCTGTGCAGCTGAACGGACAGATAGACTAGTGTGTCGTTTTAAAGCCTTCTGCAGTTCCTTTATTTCCAGAGTCTCTGCAGACGGCTGTCAGGCTTCATGCCTGAAATAACTGTTTGACAGAATCATGTGATAGACACGCTGTCAGTGCTGAAGATGAACAAGCCAGAGCTTCTGTAAGATCTCTCAAACAGCATCCACACTGTCAGCTTCTGTCAACCAATCCACATCAACCAACAGCACAGATTCTGAAATGTGTGATTGTGTCAGTACATTTTCAGGACAAAAATGTCCTGACTTTGTAGGAAAAACAGCACCAACCTGCAGAACCAACAAGATGATCATGACTTTTTACACAAGTGCTTTTTACAGAAGTTCCATTTCTGTTAGGTTTCTGAGGCTAAGATCAGTGTTAGGCATATACATGTGGGGCATATTATTATTACTTATAGACACGTACATATCTATAATTCACATGGGACATATTATTATGACACATAGATACATATATATGAGATATACATATTGTACATATTACATATAAGAACTTCTATATACTACAAATGGGACACATTATTGTTACATATAAGTACTTCCATGTTGACACAATCAGCCAAGACTTCACAGAAGATGGAAAAAAGCATTCTTAACTTTTAATGGAAGTTAATGCAGCATTAATTTTTCCACTCATCATGATTGATATATTTATACACATACATACATACATCATCTAAACCACTTATCCTTCTGGGTCGCGGTGGGGTGCTGGAGCCTATCCCACCTGTCATTGGGCGGAAGGCAGGATACACCCTGGACAGGTCGCCAGTCCATCGCAGGGCAGACAGACATACACATTCATTCACATCTAGGGGCAATTTTAGCATGTCCAATCAGCCTGATTGCATGTCTTTGGACTGTAGGAGGAAACCGGAGTACCCAGAGGAAACCCACACAGACACGGGGAGAACATGCAAACTCCACACAGAATTGACCCTGGTCGCTCGGCCAGGAATTGAACCCAGGCCATTCTTGCTGTGAGGCGACAGCGCTACCCACTGCGCCACCGTGCCACCCATAAATATATATATATATATATATATATATAAGAAGAGAAAAACATATTAGGTGGATAGGTTAATGTAAAGAGATTATATTCCAAGCTGTTTTGGAGCCTTTCAGTTTCTTTCTGTGATACTCTTCATGGCATTTTCACACAATGTAAAGGGCAGCTGATTTTCTCTTTCTTGAACTACATCAAAAATTGAAAAATAACAAAAATGGATAAACTTTGTTTTTGGACAGAGTTGATATTTATCATTGCTGTCCAAAGAAAAATGAGCATCTCCAAAATGGTTGGTTTACAGTAGAGGTCAAAAATGTTCTTTACTTTCAATGTAAGTCAATGTAAAGTGATTTTATTCCAAGCAACTTTGGAGCGTTTCAGTTGGTCCAATCATCATGAAATTGTCATACTATGTAAAGAGCAGCTGCCGTGCAAAGAATATGTAGAAGAGTAAAAATAAAAAAAATGGAAATGCATGTTTTTCTTTGGACAGTGATGATATTTTACACATTAATTTTACACACACATATATACATACACACATATATATCACTGTTGTCGGAAGAAAACTCTACATCTCCAAAATAGTAACTTTACAGGAGAAGGAAAACCTACTTTACTTTTAATGTAAGTCAAATAAACCAGACTTTTTTCCAAGTAATCTTAGGTCATTTTGTTTTAGTCCATTCATCATGAAATTGTCATACTATGTAAAGGGTAACAGGTATTTTCAATTGTGTCAAAAAAAGTTGGAGATATGAGGTTTTCTCCCGAATTATATATATATATATATATATATATATGGGACGTTATTATTACATATTATTTCGTACATCCTCTGAAACTACCGTCTCAGACCAGTGCTTATTCTGGCATCTTACTTACCTGCCATATTACCCCACTTATCTGACTGTAACCTCATTGATTCCTTTCATTGCCACTACACACCCTTTAACAGCTGCTGCACTCAGCACTTTAACTTTAGACCCATACTTCGCACAATGTAAAGGTTACAGTTATGACTGTGTGTGTGTGTGTACGAGTGAGTGATGGTAGGAATGTTTTATTTTATTTTTTTTTGTATTGTATTTTATTTTTGGATGGCACGGTGGCGCAGTGGGTAGCGCTGTCGCCTCACAGCGAGAACGGCCTGGGTTCGATTCCCGGCCGGGTGACCAGGGTCGTTTCTGTGTGGATTTTGCCTGTTCTCCCCGTGTCTGCGTGGGTTTCCTCCGGGTACTCTGGTTTCCTCCCTCAGTCCAAAAACATGCAGTCAGGCTGAGTGGACGTGCTAAATTGACCCTAGGTGTGAATGTGTATGTCTGTCTGTCTGCCCTGCAATGGACTGGCGACCTGTCCAGGGTGTATCCTGCCTTCCGCCCAATGACAGCTGGGATAGGCTCCAGCACCCCACCGCGACCCAGAAGGATAAGCAGTTTAGATGATGGATGGATGTATTTTATTTTATCTTATTGTATTTTATTCACTAAATGTCTGTCTGATACTGTGCACCGTGAGCTCCTGTAACCAAAACCAAATTCCTTGTATGTGTAAGCATACCTGGCCAAAAAAGCTTGATTCTGATTCTGACATATAGATACTTACATATACAATACTGTGCAAAAGTTTAAGGCATCTAAGCACATTGTTTAAAACCATTTCTCTTAACAATAATTGTTTGTGTTTGTAAAAACAACATATATCACTGTAATAAATACAGATAAACATATATACAGTAAAAATAACAAGAATTTTTTTTTTTTTATTCAAAGAAGTAGTTAATATCTTGTGAGCTAGTAGGAAGAACAAAGTTTGTGTCCAGATTTCTCCTGGACACCTCCTGACGTCACATGGATTTGTTTAATTCCATCAGTAGCACACCTGATTTAATTTAATGGGGAAATGGGACATTATGTATGAACCTACATTCAGATATTGTATAAAACAAACGTGTGTTGTGTGTTGTTTGTGTAGCTCCCAGCTGGTGGAGGTGTTGGAACTTTATCAGGAAGCTGTCCAGCAGAACCCGGACAGTGTGGACCCTGACCTGCAGACCGGACTGGGCGTTCTCTTCAACCTCAGCTCTGAGTTTGATAAGGCTGTGGATGCCTTCAACGCTGCGCTGTCTGTACGGCCTGAGGTGAGCAGAACCTGAGCTTATGTACCTGTTCTACTCACCTTGGCAGCAGGGCAGAATAGACAGCCCATCAAAAGTTTGGGGACACATTGTCTTCTTTCAAGGAATGTTTACTTTTATTCAGCTGTATTTTCCAACTAAGTAAGGGAAAAAAATCCCTGTTTTGGTTTTGTTTAGCATAAGCAGCTCTTTGCCAGTCCTTTGTGTATATTTGTATTCAACACTCAGCTTCATGTTCATCACTGTGTGTTCTTTGGTATGAAGAGCAGGTTTTACCTGAATAATGATTTGACACTTTTCTTTTGCAAACTATTGTTAAAAGCAGTACAAGCATTGGCTGACATCACAACTAGGGGATCAGATAAAGATGCAAAGAAAAATTGCAGTACCTAAAGAGCTTTATGTTCAATATATTGAGAGGGAATTCCACCTTTATTTAGAATTTCTATATAATTTAATGGTTGAGATGTAAATAAAGTCATTCAAGGTTGTGTTGATGTGAAATGGTTCATTGTAGAGAAACTTACTAACTCAGGTTTCTTTACAGTGGTGGTGATCGGAACCAGGGGTCACCATGACTACAGCACAAGTATAGCCATTTTATTCACTGTCCAAAATCACCAGTGAACCCACACGTCTTTTGAGTTTTCATATGGGATGTTGATGATCATAAAATAGTGATAAATCTGAAAAAAAAAATCTATGCATACTATTTTGCCTTATAATGTTGCATGTACCTCTATGAATATTTTGCAAAAGTACATTTTAGGCCAAAGCTATCATAAAGACAGTGTATTCATAACCACTTCTTGCAATAATTTTCTGTGAGGGAGCTTTTAGAGGTGGATTTCTGGCTCCTATCACCACCACTGTGACCAGTTCTGACTTGGTAAGTTTCTCTAGAACAGAGCATTTCACACCAAACCACTCTGAATGACTTTATTAGTGTCTTAACCACTTAATTATGCAGAAAATCTGTAGTGTTGGTCTTTAATATACTGCAAAGCGATAAAGAAAACTCTTTGATTTCAAATCATTTTAAGCTTGGTGTCCCCATACCTCTGGCAGGCTGTGTAGTATTTGGAAATCAACAGCTTAAGTACCAATCCATTAGTTATACTTTAGTGTTATTTAATTCCCCTGGCTTGTCTTAATCCAGCTGTTATGTCTATCAGGATTACCTGCTGTGGAACCGGCTGGGTGCTACTCTGGCTAACGGTGACCGCAGTGAGGAGGCTGTGGAGGCCTACACCAGAGCTCTGGAGCTACAGCCTGGCTTCATCCGCTCCAGATACAACCTGGGGATCAGCTGCATCAACCTGGGTGCACACAGGTAACACACTGACTCAGACAGTGGTTGGACTGTAGGGACCAATATGGGCCTCCATCTGTGGAGCTATCACCCTGCAGGTGTGTTCCAAAAATTAGCTAATACTCCTGACCTGGCTTGACCCTTGTGTGGTGTTGATATGTTTGTTACTCAGTGGTCTGGTGACCCACCACATTATTGTTTTTTAAATCAATACAGTCACAACAATTTATGTAAAAATACCAGATGTTTAAAATATCACAAGTGGCCAGCGTAGGGTTCTCCTTTAGCAGCTGTAGCCAGTCAGCAGCCTGTCCATGTTGTCCACCCTCAAACACACACAAACATATACAAACACATACACACACAGACACACACACACTAACAGCAGGCCATGTAGGAGAAGAACAGAGTGAAGGACACAGCACCTCCACACTGTTACTCCCCGTGGGTTCACCCAACACCACATGTGTAAAATAAATGTGTGGGGGGTGAACAAAGTGAAGACACTGAAAATGTGTTATTTTATATGTTCTACACAGAAAATGAGCAAAGGACAAGAATCTGAGTTTGATTATAATATATTACATCATTTGTTCTTTTCGTAAACATTGAAAATAGTTCCCACAGATCCCGACACCACTCAAGGGATTAATAGCTCAACAGGAGCTCCACGTAGACGGGAATATAAGAAATAGTATCATATTGTTAGATTAGGTTTTCATCAAGCATTATTTTTTTCAAACAAGCAAAACAATCACTTTCAGGACAAAACCTTTAAAGTAATTTTACAGGAGAGGGAAAAAAATCATTCTTAACTGTAATCTAGCTTAATTAGAGCTGGCCTAGGATTTGAATACTCATTGGCATTATTTGAGTATTCAAATAACAAATAATTTTAAGTATGTTGGTTACTGTCGTTCAAAATATGACCAGAGGGTGACAACAGTGTTCTAACAGTCAGACTGAAGCTCATTCGCTCGCATGCTGTATGTTGAAGCCACAATTGTAGATCTAATTCAAATACTTTGAGTATAATTAAAATAAATCATTTTATTTATTAACATCACGGTTCACTTTAGTCATTTGCCTTTATTTATTTTATCAAATTATTTTATTTGGCTAGTTCACCTTTTTATCATGGAAAGCAGCAGTGAGGGCAACACGTAGGCTAAGATGAGCTCAGTCATAGCTGAGCTACAGAGCAGGCAGTGGATGATTGAGGAGCTTTTGGAGGAACAGGCCCGGCTGAGCATGAGCAGGACCTCCCTGGAAGCGGCTCAGCAGGAAGCCCGCTCAGCTGGTGCAGCCCGGACCCGGTACTGAGTTCAGAGGACGTCTGAACCTGCAATCACGTCCACCCTGCTGAATGTAGCTCTCGTCTGTGGCCCAAAGAGACACTGGTTAGAGTAAACTTTACCTCCCGCGCCAATTTTGGTCTGCCTCGGAGTGCCCAGTGTGCCTCTCCTCATCCACTGCCAGAACTCACCGCAGTAAACAGGATTGATCCTCTGCTCTGGGCTCCTCCATTTTAGCTTTGCCTTCACCAGAGGCTGGTGCTACTCGGAGAAGTATCACTGTACGTACAGATTTGAGAGGATTCATCAAACTTATCATGCCTCTGTTGATGAAATGTGTTGTGGTTTAGGCTGCAATTTATGTGGCTTGAAAAAAAGTCTAAACATAGAAGCAAATGCCAATATAATGAATGAATGCTCAAATATAAGATCCTAATGTTAATGTAGCAAGTTGGATTCAAAGATTTAATAATTTAACCACCCCTATTGATCATCACTGAATGTTCACATGAGGTAAAGGGCAGCTGGTGTCCTCAAAAAGTGTAAAAAATGTTAAAAAATAACAAAAACTGAGATACAAGGCTTTGTTCTGACAGCAACAATATATGTACATAAGCTCACTGGACAAAAAATGAGTCACCTGTGACTGAAACGTACCTACAAATAACAAAGGCCTCTTGCATGCCACTCTGCTCCATATGTTCATGGTATGCAGTTCCCTGCAGAGAGTTCTTTCAGAAATTGGTTGTGAAGGACCTGTGTTGACTTCTAGAAGCAGTTCTTCCCTGGAAGTGAAATGATTTTTATTTACAAGCCGTGAAACACGCCAGCGATCCCTGTCTGTCAGTTTCATGTTTCAGCCACAATTCTGATGAGAATTTCCTGTAGACTGGGATTTTTGCCACTGGTAGGCCCGTATGACCATACGCTTCAATACATCTCCAAATTCAGCTACTTCCTTCACGCTATGGCCTTTGGCGCCCAAATGCAATCATTTCTTTCATAAACATCTGCTTTGCGACCCGTTTTCCACACATCAAATACACATTCACTGCTCTGTACCACCTCTTCTCAATCTATGAAGGAGAGCTTATAAATACTGTAAAAACTCATATCAGCTGTACACCGATCAGGCATAACATTATGACCACCTCCTTGTTTCTACGCTCATTGTCCATTTTATCAGCTCCACTTACTATATAGGTGCACTTTGTAGTTCTACAGTTACAGACTGTAGTCCATCTGTTTCTCTGCATACTTTGTTAGACGCCTTTTACCCTGTTCTTCAGTGGTCAGGACCCCATGGACCCTCACAGAGCAGGTACTATTTGGGTGGTGGATCATTCTCAGCACTGCAGTAACACTGATGCGGTGGTAGTGTGTTAGTGTGTGTTGTGCTGGTACGAGTAGATTAGACATAGCAGTGCTGCTGGAGTTTTTAAACACCTCAGCATCACTGCTGGACTGAGAATAGTCCACCAACCAAAAATATCCAGCCAACAGCATCCTGTGACCACTGATGAAGGACTAGAGGATGACCAACACAAACTGTGCAGCAGCAGATGAGCTATCGTCTCTGACTTTACATCTACAAGGTGGACTGACAAGGTAGGAGTGTCTATTAGAGTGGACAGTGAGTGGACACAGTGTTTACAAACTCCAGCAGCACTGCTGTGTCTGATCCACTCAGACCAGCACAACACACACTAACACACCACCACCACCACGTCAGCGTTACTGCACTGCTGAGAATGATCCACCACCCAAATAGTACCTGCTATGTGAGGGTCCATGGGGGTCCTGACCACTGAAGAACAGGGTAAAAGGGGGCTAACAAAGTATGCAGAGAAACAGATGGACTACAGTCTGTAACTGTAGAACTACAAAGTGCACCTATATAGTAAGTGGAGCTGATAAAATGGACAATGAGCGTAGAAACAAGGAGGTGGTCATAATGTTATGCCTATGTTTTGCTCAGAAATATGTCACAGTGGGAAAGTTATGATTTCCAATTCAAGTTAACTTTAATAGTGACTCACCAATGACATTGGTATTTAGTCCAAGACTAGGCCTAATCCATGTCTATGAACCCAGCCCATGTACTGGTCTATAGTACCTGACTTGAATTGTAGCACATAGAAATTATCAGACATACTTCTTTTGTTCCCATCTTCTCTTTCCAGGGAGGCGGTCAGCAACTTCCTAACAGCTCTGAACCAGCAGAGGAAGAACAGGAGCCACCAGGTGATGTCCAGCAGCATCTGGGCAGCCCTGCGCATCGCCCTGTCGCTCATGGACCTGCCTGAGCTTTTCCAGGCCGCCAGCATCGGGGACCTGGACCTGCTCATGAGGGCCTTCAACATGGACATGTAACCTGATTGCCCCCCAAAAAAGCCCACCAAATCGCAAAACAATGCTGAATTAGTGATGGCCATGCTATACACCAGGTGCTTTGGTGTGATGAATAGCGCAGATAAGGTTACTTCTATTGTAATTATGGTATAATAGAGAGACTTTGTTATTTGTTATGGATTTGCAGTTTGCACACAGGAGGGCATGTACTCTATATATGCAGAGCGAAAGGCAGTGAACGTGTGGAGAGAAATGGAGAGAGAACAGAAGCACATTTCAGATAAGATTATATTCTGTAATTTTGATTCTAGTGTTTCTTATTGCATCATGATTTGTAAATCGAATGCTCTTTGTATACTTGAATATGAACCAAATTGATGCAGCATGGAGGAAATACAGAGATCAGCACTTACTGACCTCACATTCGTCCACTACACTCTTTGTTTTTGTAACGAGATTGCACATCCATTTAAGGACAACTCATTTTGTGTCATATTCAACGTGATCAGTATGTTATTTAAAGGGATATTCTAGTTTTTTTAACCTGATCTCTATTTGCTGCGTCTGTAGCATACGGTCGATTACCGCACACAATAATTACTTTAAGAATAAACGAACAAAAATATATAAAATATATATAATATTTTAAAAATTCAGTAAAATTCGGTTTAGTCAATTCATTCAATTTCTTATCAAATTACAAAAGTCTAACATTAACAGAAAGTGAAGTGTATTATTAATTGAAGGGGAATTCCACCAATTTTGCAAAATTTCATAATTAAACGGTAAAGATGTAACCAAAGTCATTCAGAGAGGTTTGATGCGAAACGCTCCATTCTGGAGAAACTCACCGATTTGTTCACAGTGGTGGTGATAGGAACCAGACATCCACCTCTAAAAGGGTCATTCTCCATTTGGAGTGGGAAACCATGTCATAAGGGTTGCAGGACTTAAAAAGATGCTTAAAATATTAGGCACAGCTCCAAAAGTCAGAATGTACATTTACACAGTTGAGCTAAAATTAAATATTACTTTCCCTCATGATTCTCTGATTTTTCTTTTTCATCCTGTTTCATAGTCGCTCTGCATCTGTAAAAAAGCTTGTCACATAAACAATTTTAAACATTTGAGAAACATTTTTAATATAAAACAATATTTTTAGGATGTTTAACTTAGGAATTTAACTTTTATATCATTAACATTATATCACATTAAAAATATGTATTTTATCTAAAAAATTCATGAGTCACAGAGATTTTGGTCACTGCTGTTATCAGGACCTTGTATTACATTTGAACACAGTATTTTCAGCTCTATTACACTGCTTATTTGGGCCGAGGCTCATCAGGGAGGAAGCATCCAAAGGCCTGAGAAGGCGAGTCACACCTGCTCACTATATTTCATAAATTTATTAATAATTTTGTTTATCAGGCAGCTCATAACTTCTATGTGTCACTGGTGTTATGTGCTTTAATGGCTGGGTAATTAAATTTTGTCAAAATAATGCCAAATATAATTTTTATTACTTATTTTAAATAGTTGTACGAGGTCACCTGACCAACAACGAGTCAGCCTATTTACAAAAAATCCTCAATTTTAACCAGAATGTCACTGGAGTCACCGTCACTGGTTACACCATATTCATGTAACACACACACACACACACACACACACACATCATCTAAACTGCTTATCTTTCTTGGTCGCGGTGGGGTGCTGGAGCCTATCATACAACACCAGTGACTGTAAAATATGTTTGGAATTAAGCTCTTCTTTTTGCATATATGATAATAGGAGATGTTAATGGACATATTAAGATTATTTACTTTTGGGATGAAAGAAATAGATTTTTTTAAAAGTATATCCACCTGAATTCCCACTCCAAATGGAGAATGACCCAGAAGCGATATCACAGAGAGTTTCTTACGCAAAATGGTCATAAATATGATGCCTGGAATGCCTGTAGCTCTGAGACAATGTTTTGGCCTAAAATACATGCAGTGTGTTGTAAAGCAAAATAGTCCCCCAAAGGAAACATATTTTTTCTGATGTACCACTATTCTACATATCGTCAACATTATAAAAATTCAGAAGACACGTGTGGGTTGCCCTGGGCAGTAAATAAAATGCCTATATTTGTGTTGTAGTCATGGCGCCCCCTGGTTCCTATCACCGCCACTGTAAAGAAAGCCAGGTCTTTCTCTACAATGCACCATTTCACATCAAACCTCTCTGAATGACTAGTGGACATTGAAAAATCTGTGAAATTCCCTTTTAGCATGCCAATTTTTGAGAGTGCAGCAGTTCCCATGTCGGTCACACGATGGCACTGTTGCCACACCAAGAACAAACTCTACCACCGCAGTCAATGAATCTCTCAGCTAACCTGGTGACACTGCGCGTGGTGTGATGAATGACATTAACCGTGCTTCACTCGGGGACGCGGCACCCTCTCAGAGGTGATATGTGCCCAGGTGTGCCAGCAGGATGTGTTCCCCCGAGCCATCTGTGTTCCAGTGCACCCCTTTAACTGCAGCGTGCTCCGGGGCATTCTGGATCAGGCCTCGGCGGGTGGCCACTTCAAAGGGCCTCGCATGAAAGGTCACGGGAAAAAAAAAAACACCTCATGTTGAAAGTGGGTGAATGTGGGGAAGAGCAGTGGCACAAAAACAGAAGCAGATACTAAACACCGACACAGACACGCGAATACATATGGGCTACCATATTGGGGATGAAGGCTGGACTTAAGAAGGCCAAAGGTCAATTCGTGGGGTATTTTAGGGCTGCTTTAAGGCTGTTTTTGTTTGGAGCATGTTTGAGACTGGATATTAATATTTAAAGAAGGTGTTGATTTGATAAAGTAATGCGGGTGCGAACAGTTAAGGCCTTTACCAGCATGTATTAGACTAGATAGCTCATTTAAGAGAAGACTATGCAAGCCATAACTTGTTTTTTTTTAATATTACACCTAGAACCTTCTCTCTTTCCTTATATATTATATCATGTCTTTTCATGCACCAGTTGCTAAAGGCAATAGACGGGGTTGAAACGTGAAGCACTGTGCTGGAGAACAAAAATGTCAATCTTTTTAACAAAAAAATAGCTTTTTTCTTTGATTGTTTGTTTATTTTTTAAAATCTAAATGAATGTAGAGAATCTGAGAGAAGATTTGATATGATGAACATGATGAACTCGAACCCTGCATGCACAATAGCCCTTTACTTCCATATGCATGTAATGTATGTAAATGCTAAATATGCACTTTTTCTCTATTTAATCCAAACCATAGTCATAGAGATGAATATCTAAATGCACAGTATGCTTTCCACTGACTATTAGCCTATAAAAAAATCAAATTTCATGCCATTTTGCCACTGTATGCGGGCATTAATGACACGTCGTAATGCACACCACACACTGTAACTTCTATAAACCACGTAACTATGACTATATTTAATAAAAATTGGCCTGCTAGGTTTGGAATATGGTAGGATCCATACAATGAACCATTATGCTACATGTTCCCTGTACTGTACGCATGTTTATTCCACTGAATGTCTCAAATAACCTCTGGGACTTTGCTTTGTAAATAAGTTATCCAATTTTACTGATGTGAAGAGGTATCATAATGCATTTATAACCAATATTAAAATGTTATTTTAGAAGGAGTTATTACACAAATGGCTCTTCTGTGTGTTTTCTTGCTTTGTATTATGTGCACAGAAGAATTCTACTGTTGCACCACCCTGCAAGCAACTACGGTACGCCGCAAAAGTCAGAGACCCTTCTTTTACTTAATGTCCAGTCAAAATGGTCATTAAGTAAAAGCAGAAAGCACATATTTAACAGGAAATTACACAAACGTCTTAACAACTAAATATAACATCAAATGTTTATGTATTTAGTCTGTCCATTCTTTGCCTTTATTACAGCTTCTGCTCTTTTCAGGAGACTCACTTTCAGATTCTCAAAGAAATCTGCGGACACACCTCCAAAGTTCAGTCTTAGAAGTTGGTTTAGCAGTTTCTTAGCTCATAAAGCCTTTCTCTACTCCATCTCAGATGGTGTTCTAGTGCAAATGTTCTTCTGTGTCTCCTGTTTCCTTTTCTCAGTGAGGCTTCTTGACAGCTACACATCCTTTCAGACCCATAGTGCTGAGTTGTAGAGAAACTTGCTGAGTCAGAATTGTTCACAGTGGTGGTGATAGGAACCAGACGTCCACCTCTAAAAGAACCCTCACAGAAAATTATTACATGAAACATTCACGCTGCCTGATGCCTGAGACTCTGTTTTATGATATTATTGAGAAGTTTTTCGCCTAAAATGTATTTTTTAATAACCCATTCATGGTGGACAGGTTCCTGCAGGGTGTTGTGATGCAAAATATTCCCCCCAAAAACATATGTTTTCAGATTTATCACTATTTTACTGTCATCAACATTACATATAAAAACTCAGAAGACATGTGTAGGTCCACTGGTGATTTTGGATAGTAAATAAAATGGCTATATATTTTTTTCCCAAGTTTTCTTCCCAATTTAGCTGTGTTCAGTTCCACCCACTAGCTAGGTCTCCACCTACCACACAATCCCACCAAGCTGGGAGGGTGAGAGAGAGGACAGTTAAACTCTTTAAGACTCCCAGTTACGTATGGCTGTGGCACCACCAGGGGCAGAACCTGCTAACACAACATTGACACCACATCTTTTTAAACTGCTGCCAACACAACATTGCTGAACAGTAGTGCTGTAGTCCATTGAACCACTTGAGGAGAGTCCGAGTCAAGACAAAGACCAGAATAATATTTTTTAGAATATAAAAATAAAAAGAAGAAAGGAGGGAAACATTTAATTAATTGTACCTTCATTATCATTAATTTTGATGACATATATTAATTGTTATTTATTAAATAATACTATAGTCTTAGTCCAAATTTGCATTGTAACTTTTGGAAGCAGATGATGGTGAGGTTCTCAATTATTCTTAAAACTTATTCAGAATCACCACCTAAAGTCAAATGTATATAAATCACACAACATATATCCATTTTATTATTAAGTAAAACACTTATAATAACATATTCAATAATGATAGAAATAAGTTCAGTTTATAGTGGTCTCAGACAGAGGCATCACACTCGGCTGGTCTCAGGAACACCCTACCCCGCTAAAGAGACAAGACCAAGTCTAAACGATCTCGAGACTGGACTCCCGGTTATGTAAGGCTGTGGCATCACCAGGGACAGAACCTGTAATCATCTGATAACAGGGCCCATGCTGAGACAGTTTCATCACTCAAGATATAAAGTAAAACACATAAAATAGAGAAAATCAATTCTGTACCCCAGAAACAAAAATTGTATCAGACGTGAAAATGTATTATGTCTATATTAGCTCCATTAATCTCCAGTGCAAAACTACAAAAGAAAACTTCAGACACCAAACATGTCTTGGCTGATCAGCCACATTTCAAGTAAGAGGGGGAGAACTGTGTAAATCTGATTATTGTCAAACACACACACATTAGCCATGTCCCAATTCAGGGGCTGCATCCTTCAGAGGCTGCATTTGAAGGCTGATTGCGTCACAGCGGCCTGATTAGGTCTCATTTCAAAGGCTCCTTCATATGCGGCCAAGAAATGCGTCCATGGAGCAGACAGAGAGAAGCACCTCCAGCTCTAACAAATGAAAAAGTAAAAAAAAAATCAAAGTTTCCGGCTCCGTCTTTAAAGAACATTAAAAGAACTTGACAGGAGCGGCGTTTCGTGATGCACAGGTAAGGGAGGGAACAGCGGTGCTGTGACGCAAACAGGAAATCCGCCGCAGAGCAGACCGTCTCATTTCGGTTCAGCCTTCGTGGGTCTAAGCAGCCTTCGAAGGACACGCCTTCATAGACCGCGTCCTTCGAAGGATGCAGCCCCTGAATTGGGACACAGCTATTATCTAAGCCACTTATCCTCCTGGGATGGACAGGTCGCCAGTCCATCACAGGGCAGACACATAGACATATACATACACACACACACTCACACAGTCGTGGGCTGGAGGTTAGGGAACCAGCCTTGTGACCAGAAGGTCGCCGGCTCGATCCCCTGAGCCGACAGTATGTGACTGAAGTGCCCTTGAGCAAGGCACCTAACCCCCGACTGCTCCCTGGGTGCTGTGGATAGGGCTGCCTACCGCTCCGGGCAAATGTGCTCACTGCCCCCTAGTGTGTGTGTTCACTAGTGTGTATGTGGTGTTTCACTGCACGGATGGGTTACAATGTGGAGGTGAAATTTCACCGTTGTGGGACTAATAAGGGTCATTTAATTTAGTATCTCCAATTGGCCTGAGAACATGCAAACTCCACACAGAGAGGATCCTGGTCACCCGACCAAGGAATCAAACCTCTTTGTCCTTTTTCTATCACCTTAACTAAATAGATGTACTTCTTTGTGTAATATGTTGAAGGAAACCAAAGCTTGTTTGAAAAGAACATGAAATCCCAACATTTAACCTTATGTGTCCCTTTTCTGGACATCAGTGCTGGGTTTTAAGCCTGGGTTATCCAAGTGCATGCGCTCCTTTCTTCCTCTCTTTGACCTCAGATGAAACAGTAGATGGTTGCACCTCTGAAATAAAAGCCGTATGATTGAAGAGGAGAAGGGCTTAAATTAGCGTATGGATTTTTGGACGGTTTTAGGGAACAGGGAGGATGTGAGTTAGGTGTCTTGGTGGGTCGTGTTTCATGATTTATCATTACCAGCCTCAGATACACAGGAACTCAGGATACTTCTTATGTAACTGGATTCTCTTCAGTCCTTACTGTGCCTTCTGTGGACACTAGATTTTGCCACCCAGTGTTGGCTTTAGGCCCAATATAGTGACATATATATAGTGTAAGATGGTATTTCAATTACTTATCCATAACTTTATTTATTAAAGGGGAATTCCAGTGATTTTCAACATTTCTGTATAATTAATTGGTTCAGATGTAAACAGAGTCATTCAGAGTGGTTTGGTGTGAAATGCTCCGTTCCAGAGAAACGTATTACAGAGTCAGAACTGTTCACAGTGGTGGTGATAGGAACCAGACGTCCACCTCTGAAAGCTCCCTCACAGAAAGTTACTACATGAGATGGTTATTAATATGCCTGAGACATTGTGTTGCCATAGTATTAAGAAGGTTTTGGTGAGGAACATTAAATTTATCACTATTTTATCATCATAATTCCATATAAAAACTCAAAACACCTGTAGGTTTGCTGGTGGTTTGGATAGTAAATAAAACGGCTATGTTGGTGTTGTAGACATCGTGACGCTTGGTTCCCATCACCACCACTGCTACTTCTTTAGGTTCAGTAAGTTTCTCTACAATGAACCATTTCATATCAAGCCACCCTGAATGTCTGTTTATATTACAGTGACTGAACTGTGCAGAAATAAAACAAATTCTCTTTAAGATGAAATACATTTTTAAATGCTGCTTTCAGACAGAAAGGCCAATCTTATACATAATCAAAGAGGTTATCTGTAGCTCCCATCAGGATGTTTACTGTATTTACTGTATTCTTTCTTCTCTGTTCAAGTTAGTACTGGTGGGTTGTGTTTTATATATCAGAACTTTTTCATACACAAAAAATGAACAATTGCATGAACTTATTATAACTATTCCACACATTTCCATTCAATGAAAGAGAGTAGAGTTTTCATTAACGTAATTAATTATCCCACTATTACCATTTATCTTGACAAATGTCAGGTCATAATTGAAACAATCATTTCATTATGATTATTATTCACTATTGTGTTGATTTCAATGTAAATTGGTTTTGGTTACACATACAGTACTGTGCAAATGTCAGAGACCACCTTTCATTCACTTATTACAAGAGAGAGGAGAAAATCAAGCTGCTTCAGATCTGAAAACATCCACAGGTGTTTCTGTCCATCCTTCCACTGTGAAAAGACGACTCAGCGCTGTGGGTCTGAAAGGATGTGTAGCTGTCAAGAAGAACCTCACTGAGAAAAGGAGACGGACACATCAAACAAAGAAGCTGAACGATGGACTGACCACCCCAGAGTCCAGACCTCAACACCACTGAATGTGTTTGATTACTTCAGAAAACGATCAACCAGCTTCTAAGACTGAACTTTGGAGGTGTGTCTGCAGATTTCTTTGAGAAACTGGAAGTGAGTCTCCTGAAAAGAACAGAAGCTGTATTAAAGGTAAAGAGTGACACAATAAATACTGAAAAATGTGACATTAAGTTTAGTTGTTGAGGCTTCTGTGTAAATTTTTTCCAACACTGAAAAATGAATAACTTGTACTTGACTGGAAATTAAATAAATGACGGATGGACTCTGACTTTGGTACAGCACTGCACTAATCACGCAGACCTTTATATTGATACTGGCCCTTAAAAGATTTTGTAGTGGGAGAATTTGAACTAATGGAAATCGATTAATTCTGGAGGCCTAACTGAAAGTTTAGATCTCAGCATTATTAAAACACTGAGAAATGTATGTTATAAAACATATACTTGTATTCATTTAACACCAACCTCCATCCACAGCTGACAATTAAAACAAGTCCATCGATGTGGAGTGACGAAACAGGTCTTTACGCATTCATTTCACAATATTTGCTTCACTGTAGGGGGAGAATGTGACAAAACACATTGACACACTGTCCTATTACTGTGACTCTGTCCCTTTAAGCCCTGGCAGCCCTCCACCCCTCCACCTAGGCTAACAGTAGCCTGCCGTAGACGTGCTGACAGCTAACTAAGTCCTCCACAGTGACAGTACTCTGATCCACTCTGGAAAACATACTCCGGTGGGAGGGACACTGTGCTACTACAGCTTCATCACCCGCTAACTTTGGGGACCAAGACGAAGAGGAGCATCTTTAGGTAAGATTGACAGGTGTCATTTTGTGTCTTTGTTTTTTTTTAATGATGGATTTTTTTTGTGTTAATATACTTTAATGAGAATATGCTTTGATGTATGAGGGATTTAGGGCTTTAGGAACTGTGTGCTGGTGGATTACTTTAACCCCTGGCATGCTTAATCTGCCTTTAGTACCTCTGATTCTTAGAAAGCACATCATATTTTACCACTGATTCATCTTTTTTTTTGATTATTATGGCTTTTATTTTTGTTACGTTTGTTTAATTTTGCTTTTATGTATAACGTTGACTACATGTAAACCGTAAAATCTGTATTCACTGCAAGAGAAACCGAAAGCATGTCACAATAGTGGCAATAAGGCACCCACCCAGGGGATGTGGCTTTGGGAACCGGCTCAGGGGTCCACTTAAAACCCACACAAACCCCACAAAACACTACTGTAACTGTCATATGGTTCTGCGGCTCTGCCCTGGCACCTCACAAGTTAGAAGAAAGAAAATGGAAGGTGGTATTTTTTCCCTGCTTTTTCAGACATTGACTAAATTACAACGAAGATTCTCTGCTCGAGCACTACACACTTGAAAAAAGATGGTTCAGGTGTTCTTTGGTAAAGGGAATGGTCCTGTTTAGAACCACAAACACTCAAAGAACCATTTGCATGCTTAAAAGGTTCTTCAGATTGATGGTTTTATATGGTTCTATATAGTACCTTTTTGAAAAGGGCTCTATACAGCACCCAAAAAGGTTCTGCTATTGTTACGATGCCAAGCTTAAGAACCCTTTTTGGTGCCACGTAGAGCCAACACACTCTCCATCAACCTGAATAACCTTTTCAGCATGCAAAGAACCATTTAAGCATGAAGTTTTTTAAAGTTTTAAATCGAACAATCACCTTTACTAAAGAACCATCATTTTTAAGAATGTAGGCATCAATGTCTGCTCAAATACAGGCCTCTTGTAGTGTAAAGTTTAAGGATTTTTTTTACTTTTCCTGTTCTGGGTAGCCACTGTGCGCCCTGTCAAATTTATTAACTAACATTTTTACATCTGTGTTATCTTTCTTCTGTGTTATTCTTCTTCTTTTTTGTGCCACACTTCTGCTGTGTGACTCCAAACGCATCAGTTCAGTCATTTTGATAATTGAGGAAGCTGACGATACCATTCCTCGGAGTGGGTAGCGCTGTGTGGGTTTTAGTCACAAAACAGCCTTTAATGAAGGAAAAACGTGAGCTGAACTGTATACAATATGACATATGTTAAATAACTACACGTATACTAACATTTTAAACTCAAATATATGAAGAAACCACAGGGGAAAACAGTGAATTGTTTTCGAAACCCCCCCTCCGCCCAATTGTTGCCATGCTCTCAATATCGGTATGGGTGTGGTAATCGCAGTGTGTGAATTTGGTTAGAAATCTCGTCAGTTTTGGCGCCTGTAAAGTCTGTTTTTCAGGATTATAAGACCGGGAAAAAAATGACAGAGCTCACCTTTTTAAATTTAGCATGATAACTAGAAACTAAACGGAGTTGTTTTTGGGGGTCTCTGGATCTTCGGCGCTGCCACACACAGTAAGGTATCCCTCTGAGCCTTTAGCGGTTAGCTTAGCCGCAGCAAAGCTAGTTTGGGAGCGAGTTGTTGATAAAATTACACGTTTAACGTTCAGCTTTTCTCGCCTTCTGGTTCGTTTAATAACAGTTGTGTCTCCTTGAAAGGATTCCTCTGCCTGAATTTGGACAAATTGTCCATTTTTATATTAAGCAACATGTGGTTTAAACACGTAACTACTTACGCTAGCTGGCTATTAGCTAGCTTAACGTACCTTTCTGCCATCGCAGGCAAAACAAAACATCTGTTTGAAATCTTTTAGGCGGGTTTAAAAGCTGCTGGCGAGTTAACCGCACCAGTTAAACCACCTAAAAAGCTTTAAAAGGCTGCCTGTGTGTGTAAGTAATGTGTTTGCGAGTGTCCTTCGTCGTTTTCATCCTCCTCTCACGGTTTACTATTTACTATTAGCTGCTTCTGAGTCGCCACTGTTGGTCAAATGTAGGATTATCACACTGGGATTTGCAGACAGGTCAGATTAAGAGAGGCTGTGTTTACTTTACTGCTGGATTAAAGGCAATTTAGCTTCAATCCTTTCGCCTGGGCCGGTCCGTTTGGCTTCTTTATCCGGATTGGGGGAGATTTTCATGCTTTTTGGAGTCAAATATTGGTAGTTTGTTCACATGTTCCGTGTTATATTTTAGCGACGTGTATGTAAAGTCAGAATGTACAGTTTAAGGTTGTGAGTAAATGTGTTTAATCTCGCTGTGAACTTTATTTCCACCCCCCCCCCTCTCATAAAATGGTTTGCGAGGGTTGGGAGCAGCTCTCTTCCTGTTTTTGAGACATTGCAGCATTGTGGTTCCTTAGAAACTTGTGCTGAAGTGAACAGAACGGCTGCCACACTGTGCAGTTACTGATATTGGTTCCTAATGGCTGAAATGCAGGGACTTTGGTGGGGGAATCCCACGGTGAGTAAAATATTAGGTAGGTTACAGGTGACCAGAGCCCAGCAGTGAAAGTCGGCCTTGCTTTTAGTGCTTAGCTTAGGGCTGAGAGATGAATCATTTTTATATCGAAAGTGCAATTTTTAAATGCAGTTATACATTTTTTTTTGTCTATATTATCAACAATATTGACTGAAGTTTTAAGAGGGAAAATTTAACCTAATAACACAGCTTGTGCACCGCCTGTAGACGAGTTAGGCCAGTCAGAGACAATCAAATCTCCTTGTGTTGTGACATCACAACCACAGCTTACTGGCAGTCTAGCACATTACATTCAGGGTTCAAGCCTCAAGCCACAAAAGTCAATATTGCGGTGGTCTTGTCCAAAAAAACATGACTTAAATTATAGAAAATATTCACAGTTTAAATCGCAGTAGTGATATTGGTCAGAAAAATCACAATTAGATATCTTCCCCGAATTGTTCAGGCCTAGCTGGGCGATATATCGTCTGTCCTGTGCTGTTAACATACAGTGGCAGTGCTTTTCAGCTGGCCTATTTGGCCTAATTGACATTTTTTCCAGTTTTATGCGCTTTATTAAAGGTCTTCACAGTCTGAGAGTTGACGTATTGTGTGTCATTTGCTGGGTGATTCAGATTGTTTTGAAAGAACAGTACAAAATGCATGAATACTGAAAGGGGATTTCCACCAACTTTTCAGAATCTGTGTAGTTCAGTGGTTGAGATGTAAAAAAGGCCAGTGCTTTGATGTGAAATGGTTTATTGTAGACTCTTTACAGTAGATTTACTGTAGATTTCTTTACAGTGGTGTTCATATTGTGATATGGTGATTTTATACAAATATACACAAATATACAAATAGTGATTTTTATTTACTATCCAAAACCACCAGTGGACCTTCACATGTCCTCTGAGTTTTTATATGTAATGTTGATAATGGTAAAATAGTGGGAAATCTGAAACAGGAAACACATTTTCTTTTATGGAAATGTGGTTTCTGTCTGTTTTAAATACAGTGTAGTTCAGTGTAAGATTCCCTTTTGTTGTAAAAAAAAAAAACAGAAGACGTGTCTATATACACAGATATGTAAATAAAAACATAATGCAGTGCTTGAAATGATGAATTTTGAAACATGTTGTTGGCATCAAATTCAAAATGCATATTTTTAAAAAACAATAATTTCTCACTTGTCTTTGTACTACTTACAATGAAATATAGGGTTTAAATGATTTGCACATCACTGCATTTTGTTTTTCTTTACATTTGGGTCGTGTGTGTGTGCGTGTGTGTGTGTGTATGTGTGTGTATATATATTATATATATTATATTATATATTATATTATATATTATATATATTATATTACCACACACACACACACATTATAATGCACCACTATAGCAATAGTAGTTCACATTAAACTGCGGTGAAAACTATGAAACTTGCCGTTGGTACTGATGATATCAGTGATTGTGATTGATCTTGGTGTAATTTGTCATGGTAACAGTTGTAACTGTCATATTGCCAGTGTAGTGTAGTAGTTGTACTGTCATTGGGCAAAAATGTATCTGGGTTGTTGCTCCTGGAAAAGTCACTCTGGTGTGTGTTTTGGGAGTTTTGAAATGCTTCTGTGAGGCGGTGCCAAGCAGTGCTGCCCCACGCTTAAACAAAAGAGCACAGAGGCTGGGCTGGCTTGGCGCTGCTCTAGTTCTTCAGTGTGGGTGAACTGTCTGACACAGTTTTGGTTGGTGTTGTCTTTTAGCCTGGTCAAAATGGTTAGTTGTTGTTTTTTTCGTAAGGCATTTTCGCGAAATGAATATTAAAGAAAGACCTTAGTCTTTTTTGAACTTATCCCTACCTGTCTACCTCATCTGTTGCATCCTATAATACAAACCAGTGGGCAGCTGTTTCAGCACCTTCCCACTGACGTCTATGGTAAAAGGGTTAAGAGTCGACAAATGTTCTGTTTTAAGTACGAGGAAGTTGAAATTAATATCTCTGGATAAGTCCTTTTACCTTGGGATTGCATGATAATACCTGAATCATATTGTTGGTAGATAATTGCTTTAAAAATGTAACATTATTGGACAGATGTTTAGATTTGGGCAGTATTTCAAACAGATATTTGTTGATGTATTTCTTGTATTCTGTAAGAGCGTAATGCTTCTGCAACACTGGGTTTCTGCACTAAAATATCTGCATTTTATTCACTTTACTGTATTTGTAACCCTACAGAAATAAATGTAATATTTCTCTGTAATACTAATGCACATGCATTTACTCCCAGTTTCTACATTATATAAATGTTTATGTATTGGTCTTGGTAGATATGTACTTGAAAAATATTGGATATTTAATGTTGGCATCAGCTCACAATTCCCACATTGCTGCATCCCTACTTTAACATGTTTGAATGATGTTTTAAGTTTGCTGTTTGTGCTCTTGCAGGCCTCTGTGTTTCTTCAGAGTGAGAAGAGGAGTGAAGCCCTCAGCGGAGGACCATGAGTGAGCTGGAGCAGTTGCGGCAGGAGGCCGAGCAGCTCCGCAATCAGATCAGAGTGAGACCACTTTCATACGTCTCTTACCCCTTAGTTTGGACTGCCCCCTTCCCCTTCCAAAACCAACCCTCCCATGTGAATGTGAACATACACATTCAACACACGTAGCAGATTACACCTAGTAGAGGTTTCACAATGGAAATGAATATAGAACTGTGGTTTACCTTTTTAGGTGAGCGCACTGGTGTTGCACAAATTGTAGCATCACACAGGAATACGTTTCAAAACATACACCGATCAGGCATAACATTATGACCACCTCCTTGTTTTTACGCTCATTGTCCATTTTATCAGCTCCACTTACTATATAGGTGCACTTTGTAGTTCTACAGTTACAGACTGTAGTCCATCTGTTTCTCTGCATACTTTGTTAGCCCCCTTTTACCCTGTTCTTCAGTGGTCAGGACCCCCATGGACCCTCACAGAGCAGGTACTATTTGGGTGGTGGATCATTCTCAGCACTGCAGTAACATTGACGTGGTGGTGGTGTGTTAGTGTGTGTTGTGCTGGTCTGAGTGGATCAGGCATAGCAGTGCTGCTGGAGTTTTTAAACACCTCAGTGTCACTGCTGGACTGAGAATAGTCCACCAAGCAAAAATATCCAGCCAACAGTGTTGAGTGGGCAGCGTCCTGTGACCACTGATGAAGGACTAGAGGATGACCAACACAAAATATGCTGACACACATGAGCTGCTGTCTCTGACTTTACATCTACAAGGTGGACCGACAAGGTAGGAGTGTCTAATAGAGTGGACAGTGAGTGGACACAGTGTTTAAAATGTCCAGCGGCACTGCTGTGTCTGATCCACTCGTACCAGCACAACACACACTAACACACCACCACCACATTGGTGTTACTGCAGTGCTGAGAATGATCCACCACCCAAATAGAGCCTGCTCTGTGAGGGTCCATGAGGGTCCTGACCACTGAAGAACAGGGTAAAAGGGGGCTAACAAAGTATGCAGAGAAACAGATGGACTACAGTCTGTAACTGTAGAACTACAAAGTGCACCTATATAGTAAGTGGAGCTGATAAAATGGACACTGAGTGTAGAAACAAGGAGGTGGTCATAATGTTATGCCTGATCGGTGTATTCTATTATTCAAAAGAAGCAGAGTGGAAAGTAGTAGATTTTCATGTAGGATGAGTAACAGAGACGCAGATGAGCTAAAACAGCTAACCGGTAACACTGGATACCGATGGTGACTCATCATCTTCTTCAGGTGATTTTCCCTCTTAAGTAGACGATGTGCCAGCATGTTAGTATTTTAACTGTTTCTGTACCCAACAGTAGCCAAGAGCCAAGCTTATTTAGTAATAAAAGCTGGGCTATATGTAGTTATTGCTGCTGTAGGAACAAAACCTTTTTTCAGTTTTTGCCATAATTTGAAAATATCTGTTGTCTTTTACATTGTGTGTAAATTTCATGAAGAACTGTCAAACAGAAATAGTCCAGAGTTACTTGGAGAAAAGTCTGGTTCCATTGACTTACATTAAAAGTGAAGTATGTTTTTTCCTTCTCCTGTAAAGTTACCATTTTGGAGATACTCGCAAGTACAAGCAAAACATTCACATTTTATAGTTCTGTTAAAACATGTTGTTCATTGAATTGTTCGCCTGTATATTTTCTCTGTGTACCTGTGATTAAAACACAACAAATACCTGAATAGGGAGTTCAGTATTTGAATACTGGCTCCTCAGACAGTTAACCGAGTACTCGCATACCTGTGCACATACCTACTCATTGCTATAGACAATAATTTTGACAGTACTTGGTGAAAGAACAGCAAAGCTGTTGCCTTGAAACTCACCTAGAAGCTGATGCACAGGTGCTAAAGAAAACTGCCCATTGACTTTTATTAGAAGGCAATTTAAAGTTTTATAGCTTCAGTTAGAGTGTGTTTTGAGTTTTCTCTCATTTTAGTAAGTGCTGGGAAACATGTTGAAATTATTATCCTTAGTAATTTACCGTATGCTACAGATGTAGCCTGAAAAGTGCTGGAATATTCCTTTAAACTAAAAGATATGTCAAGTATAAAGAAAAGTAAGGGGTTTTCCTGTTGAACAGTCGTCACTTTTAGCTTACTTTTTCCAGCTTATTGAGAAATCCTGCTTTGTGAAATGCCTCATAACTTCTTGCCGCTCAACCAGAAGCTCTCAGTGGGGACTCCTTTGCCATGACAGTCTAGGTCCTGGCCTAGTTTGTCCATGTCTTGGTGTTGCTGAAAGTAACACAGCTCCACCAATTAGGTCAGAGTGGAAGACTGGACAGTCTTACTAATAATACCAGTCAGGTCAGAGCAATGTTGGGTGCTATATATATATATGTGTGTATATGTGTGTACGGATATGGAAAAAAAAGAAAAACCGGCAAGATGGCTGAGCAAGTGACCAAAGAAACCCAAACAATTTAAAGTATTTTCTACGTTAAACAATTGCGATAACCACTGTATTATCTTAGTTTAATGTCATTTCCTTGTAACTCAGTTCCAAGGGGTTAGGGTGACACTCGAAAACAAGGGGTAGGGGTAAAAACAAGAAATGGGACTGGGTCTAATTCTTAAAATACAGTAGCACATGTTCCATATGCAACTGGAAACAGAAATAGACAAAAGCAGATTATGCTTACATAGTATATACACAAACATCAAACGCTGCTTCTTGTGTTTTGTTTTTCATTGTTTGATTGTTCTGAAATCTTCCATTTATAGTTTCTTTCAGAACGAATAAAGTATCTGTCTACTTATCTATGTGTCTGGTAGGGATACAGTACAGCATATCGAAGTGCATTGGAGCATATAGCCCAGTATCATATCGTTGTATCGTGACTTGCATGTTAGCTTGTGGCTTGTGTGTTAGATGAAGATACAAAAAAGCACAACTTTTGTTGTAAGTATCGTACTTTTATAATGCTGACTGTGCTGAAATCTGATAATTAAAACACTAACATATTAATATAAGGCACATTTTCAGCCACCCCTTATTTTTACTGTATCGATAAATGTATAAAGACACCACCATATCGTATTGAATAATACAAATTGTGCATTGTTGCACCCCTACTGTCAAGCTACACTGAATAAAAACACTGAATTGCATTTACTTGATCCATTTACTGATTCCAGAACAGACCTTCTATCTCCAAAATGGTTACTGTTGGTCCATTCATCAGGATATTTTACCAAGCTGCAAAGGAGACCCAGCATTTTCAAATTCTGTAGAATATTCAAAATGACAAAAATGGAGCAAGGTTTTGTTTCCACAGCAGCGATTATATTACAACAACGCAATTATTGCCCAAAAGAAGTAATCTGAGAGACAAAATTGTGTTTATTTTTGTGTGAAAATATACACATTTGAGTTGGGATGTGCGTTTTGACTAATTTTGATATTTTGACCTCTGGTGGGGGTGGGGGAGTGAGGGGGTGTCAACGGACAAGGAAAAAACTAATTTCGGCTGACAACGTAGAGTTGTAGGCTTGTATTCTTAGGTAACAGCATTGGTGTAGCAGCATACAGAGGAACACATTTCAAAACATGCCTTATTTGAAAAAATAAACGAGTGAAACGTTTTCGTGTTGGATGAGTAACGGAAGCTGCCTCTTCAGATGAGTTAATGAGCTTACAGAGCTAACCAGTGCAACACTGGAAGATGAACAGTGAGCCGACATGTTAGTTTGCCAGAAATATAGAGTGATTCAAAAAGATTCATCCGATTTCAAAATGATTTATTTCACTGGTAAATCATTACAGATCAATGCAGTAAACTGTAAATGGTTTAAATGAGCATAAAGTTTATTATGTAATTTTACAAGTGCTCAGTATGAACCTCCTCCAGCTGTACGGACAACATCAACACCATAGTCAAATTCATCCCATACTCGATTGAGCATGTCGGGTGTTGCTGCACTCACGGCTCTTTCAGTGTGATTTCGGAGATCATCCAGTGTTGTGGAACCAACGACGCGCGCTCTGAGTTGTTGGAGGTTCACTGCCCACGAAAATCACGTTGCACAGTTATGACGGATTCACTCTTATTGAAGTGGAGAACGCAGAACGCTTTCTGCTCAGGGGTCTCATCTCCTCTCAGACTGAAGGGAGCCATCATCCACGGACAACTCTTTTTGAATCACCCTGTATTTTTACTGTTTCTGGACCTGGCTAACATCAGCTAGAATAGCTAACCAAAAAGCTGTGCCACACCTACTTAGCTCCTTTTGCTTTGTCAACCACATCCTTAACCACAGGATCACATTGAGGCACTTATTTCATAGTAGGAAAGTATGCTTGCTCGCAAATATGAGTGTATTTGAAACATTTTATAGTTCTTTTAAAACATAACATCAGCATTTCACTGAGTTGAATTTGTCTCTGTATATATTTTGTTGTTTGTAAATGGAACAAATACCAAAGTAGTGATTGCAGTATTTAAATATTGTCATCTTAATGGCTAACTGAGTACATGTGCATATCCCTAATTTGAATCAAGTGAATTCCTAAAGTGCATTGTTTTTTTCAGTATGTTTATAGCTAATAATAATAATAATAATAATAGTAGTATTTATAATGACAATAAAATTGCATCAGTTTACATCTCTCTATATCTGTCTGTCTGATCTGTATATCTGGCTTGCTGTTTATTTCAGGATGCCAGAAAAGCCTGCAGCGACTCCAGTTTGTCCCAGGTAAGCAAAGCGGCTCTTCTGTAGGTTCTTCTCCATGCTGACCCTGCCCCATCTTGTCGTGCGTTCAGATGATGGAGATTCCCACTCGTCTGCACCGCGAGCCCAGCACAGACATGCAACACTGCAGCTAACCCACATGCCCAACATGCTCTTAAGTGCACTGAAATATTAAACACCCTCCTGCATGCCGTGGTCTCCATCAAAGTTTAAACATCATCTCATGCCCCGCTGCTTTGGTGAATTTTATAATTTGATAATGATTTTTTTCCCCCTCCACCTCTTTTGACCACATTTGTGGGTTGACGTTTTGAATAGGTGTGTCTGATTTTGTAATTAGTCACACTTTTGCTGCATATCCAAACCATGGAAACAGTAATAATAATAAGTAGAGGCACATGAAGATTTTCACAATGTATGTTGTTGGGAGCAGATTTTACACATTAAAGATATCATCATTGCTATATTGTGATTAATACCACCTTTATTAGAAAGTGTGTTTTCCTTATACATCAGCTGTAATTCTATTCAAATGCTGGTTATTTTCAAAATTGGCAAATGAGTATACAGCATTTTGGAATAAAATTCTTCATATCATACCTATACCATTAATTAAATGTGTTAAAATATGGTTGTGGTAATTTATAATAATGGATTAGGTACGTCTCCGAGCTTAAGTTTTCCATCATGACTCTAATTAATAGTAGTGCTGTACTGCTGGTGGTAGCATTCTCTTAATTCCAAGGCTTATTGAAAAGAATATGAACCTTATCATAATATTACATCTCCAGACTCTGCATCGACCCAAGCAGTACACTTTCAGTACTTGCAGAAATTTCAACATCACAGCTCCACCCATGTTATTCAGCTGTTTCCTTGCATACCACGCATGACGGGTGGTTATTTATGATGACTCCTTTTATTTATTTGACTTTTTCTTTCCTGCCCTTTGCTTCTCGTCTGGGTAGATCACAGCTGGGCTGGATTCGGTGGGGAGGATCCAGATGCGGACGAGGCGAACCCTCCGAGGCCATTTAGCCAAAATCTACGCCATGCACTGGGCTACAGATTCCAGGTCAGTGGAGAAGGAGAGAGATGGAGGGATGAACAGAAGGTTTGGAGGAGAGTGGGTGGGAGGATGGGTGGGTTCCCTCAGAGAAACCCTGCAGGTCTGTCAGTGTACACTCAATGAATAATACAGCAGCCCGCTCACAACTCAATGGTGTCCTGAGATTATGCCGGCTGCCTCCTGCTCCCTGTCTCTCTCAAACCTCTCTTTCTCTCTCGCTCCCTCTCCACCATCACCCTTTCTCTCCGTTTCCCTTCCTGCATCCCTTCCTCATGCTTGAAGGGTGGGGGACAACCAATTGTTTGATTGAATGAGTCTCTGTTCATAGTTGACTTGTGTCTGTGGGGGGAACTGTTTTTAAATGTCAGCTAAACATACGTTCTGCTCAGTGGATGCAGTCATTAAATCAGCGTCTGTCTGCCTTACTTGTTCAGCGTTTACTTCCAAATTTACAGTGCTTTGTTTTTCATACTTGTAGGCTACTGGTTAGTGCCTCACAAGACGGCAAACTCATCATCTGGGACAGCTACACAACAAACAAGGTGAGCTTAGAGAAAGATTGTTCACTGCACACAACAAAGAGATCCTGGTGAATACCAGCGTCCATCATAGTGCCCATCCATCTAATCTTATCAGGCAGATGGTTGAGATTAAGATCCACATGTCTGTGGATCCATAGCTTGTGCGTTAACCATGCAGCTGTGGATGTGGTAGGGATGCGCAAAGATACTGGTATCAGCAAATATTTCAAAAACACCCTTTACAATCAATTTAAGTTACTGTGAAGAGATTTTATTCAAAGCAGTTTTGGTGAATGTCTGTTGATCCATTCATCTTGAAAATTTCACACAATTTAAAGGGCGCCGGCCGTACTCGAATGATGTAAAAATCTAATAAATGGAAATGCATGTTTTTCTTTGGATGGTGAAATACTGGACAAATGTTTAGATTTGAGCAGTATTTCAAAGCGATATTTGCTGATGTTGTTATTGTACTCCGGAAGAGCGCAACATTTAGGCGACACTGGGTTACTGTGCTAAAATGTGTACATATGTATGGAACGATATCAGAATCCTGTCGGTATCATCAGATATTTGCTTAAGAACAAGATATCTGTGTCGGACAGGTGTTTAGATTTGACTGAGGTTTCAAACTAATATTTGATGTATTTATTGTACTCTGGAAAAGCAGAATGTTTGGGTGTTGCTAGTTTAGTGTGATAGAATACCTGCATTTTATTATTCATCTACCAAAATGTTATTTCTTTGTAATATTAATCCAGGAACCAATTTCTGCAGTGTTTCAATTTTTGTGTATAAAAATATTAGATATCTGCATCAGCCCACAATTCCCATATCGGTGCATCTGTAGTATGTAAGTAAAGAAGGTAGCTGTTTAGCCTGTTTTTGCTATTTAAATATTCACATTTCTCAAGAAATTGTTTTCAGATACCACAGTGAGGAAATTTGTGTTGTTTTTAATATAACAATGAAATCGCTGAAGGCTTAGTTTGTTGCACACAACTAGCGTAAGAGCTCATCCGACTGATAATTTTTTTTAGCGAATTATTATACACTGTTTTTGAACATGATTTAATGTACCTTTAAAATGCCTGCACAAGAGTGACACTACAGTTGCACAACTAAACTTTGTTAGGAATATTTCCATGTTTAGCTGTATACAGCATGCATCTTACAGTAAGCAAAATGTAGTATAAGCTCCATGTGTCCCCGAATCACTGTGGTTCTGTGTTGAAAAGCCACAGATCTATTGGGCATCGGTTGATATACATGGAAAATGCTGATCGAATATCAGAAGAAAGGAAGAACATATCCGATCCGATTGTCACACAAATCTAGTCTGAAATAACAAATTCTCAAAGTGCTGCAAAATGTGACGTGAAGTAAAATCTGTCTTGTTATACAATCAGTAACCACATTATAATGTCATGTGTTAACCTAAGGGTGGAGTAGAGTGCTGGAGTACTTTGAGCTAGGGATGTGCATTCTGACTAATGTTGATATTCGCTGTTGTTGGAAGAAAACCTCCCATCTCCAAATATAACTTTACAGGAGAAGGAAAAAACCTACTTTACTCTTAATGTAAGTCAATGGAACCAGACTTTTTTGCAAGTCATTTTGGGTCATTTCTTTTGGTCCATTCATCATGAAATTTACACACAATGTAAAGGACAAGTATTTTCAAATTATGTCAAAAACTGAAAAACGTCAAAAATGGAGATACAAGGTTTTCTTCCGAGAGCAGCGTATTGAAGCATCGAAACAACAGCACAAAAAAGTAGTTAATTATCGAAGGGCTGGTGATGGAGGCTTAATCTTTTAGGTGATGGCTCTGATGTCAAGAGGTTTGAAAAATCAGTTGAATAAAAATGTAGTAACAAGCAGAAGAATACATGTACATAATACATTTTATTATTCAAAAACAGCATCTTTAAAGAAAATAATTGGTTTTGAACTGGTATCAGTACTGACTGATACTCAAGGTATCGATATTGGAAAAGAAATGGTATTGTGTCATCTCTAGTTCTGTTCTAGTTCGGTCATTTTTGAAAATTGCTTTATTAGAAGATGATAAAACATTTTTTCCCCCATTAATGTTAGTAGTAGTTAGTTATTAGTAAATTTCTGATAAAGTAAAAAAAAGATGAGTTTGGGTTTCTGTGTATTTGAATAGCCACACCCATCTGTAGTATGTATGGCAGACTTTTTTATTTATTTATTTTTAAATCATATTTTCAGATCCATGCCATTCCTTTGCGCTCGTCCTGGGTGATGACCTGTGCCTATGCTCCTTCTGGAAACTACGTGGCTTGTGGAGGCCTGGACAACATCTGCTCCATCTACAGCCTTAAAACCCGCGAGGGCAACGTCAGGGTCACCAGAGAACTGCCCGGACACACAGGTAAAGACAAATAGCACTGGCCAAGACTCTGGCCTTCGCTGGCTTATGCACAACTCACTTTTTTGTTGTTAGAAAAGATAACGCTGCCCTGCAGTGGGTCTAATACATCATCTTGACGTCTTTTTCCTTCCACTAAGGTTATTTGTCATGCTGTCGTTTCTTGGATGATAGCCAGATAGTCACCAGCTCTGGAGACACCACCTGGTGAGTGAAGAATGCGGCATGGTATAACTGACTGACCACCCTACTGTAAACCTTCAGACCCATTTAAATGATCTCATACTGTGGGATGTTTGCAAGGCTGGCCTGAGTAATTCAAATACTCGAGTATTCGTTTATTATGTTGGATATTCAGTTCTTAATTTAGTCTTTGTGTTTTGTTTTTTTTTTAAGTCGCAAGAAATTGTAGCCTAAAATAAATTTCATTAACAAACACTTTTTAGATAACAGCTAATAGAACAGATAGAACAGAAAATGTTAAAGTGCCAGATTAAAGCTGGTTTAGTTGAACGCATCATAATTCATGACAGGCATCCACTCATGTAACTGAACCACTGAAACTAAAGAGCAAAGATGCCTCACAATAAAATCACGTGAGTGCGAGCACTTTAAATTTAAGATCAGAAGATAAGAAAAATCCTCAGTGAAAAAGGCTGGTAAACCTTGGAGACAACAAGTTTGCTAATTCGTCTGAGTACCCCCACGCGTCCATTCCAGACTGCCTCTGATCATGAAACTGCTTCAGGCTGTGGATGGTCTCCAGTTCTTTTCTAATTAAGAGTTTTCCAGTAGGTTTAGAACTTGATGGCACAAACTATCTGTTTATAGCAAATCACAATCAAGTTTTTATGGCTGTAAGGAGAAGAGTCTCCTACGCAGTGTTAGTACAGCTCAGGGGCTGCTCTGAGACCGCCACACCAAAATCTTCACATTTTACTAAACTGTTATTTTAAACGTAGTTCTGGACGCTGTAGAAATGGGAGTTTGTGATTAGACTGGAATAACAACTCAACAGGAAGAGTTTGTGTGCGCATTGATTAAAATGGAAGCATATTTGCTCCATCAGGCTGATGATTTAAACACACTTAATGTTATCATTTTAAAGGTAATTTTGAAAAAATATCAAATATTAACAAGTATTTAAAGCCTGTAAAATGCCAACCAGTCAGCGTTCAGTGGTGGTAATGCCAACGTCCTGACTGCCCAAAACAGTTTTACTGCAAAAACAAAAGTACATAATTTTTTTTTTGTGTGTTTTCTGAAATTTACTGAAGTTGCTGCATAAATGACTAAAAACTGTTGCGTTTTTAGCCAAAAAAATTTGAATGCTCCCGTTCGTTGAGGGCTTGCTTGCATTCTGCAGTCCTGTATATATTTTAATGGGAGAAATAGGTAATTTCTTCTTTTGTGGTTTGATAAAACCATAGAAGCCATTTCACCCCCTATGCTTCCTGTAGTGTATTGCAGTCTGTACATCATATGAACTTTTCAGAGCTCCTATTTTCTTCTTTTTTCTTTAATTAAGCAGTGAATTACCAACATAATTCACTGCCATATTCCATAATCATTGTTGTCAATTTTGTTGACTAAACATTGCAGTCTTGCTTGTTTCCAAAGTGGAGTTCATGAATTCAGGAAAGTGATCAGCGTTTGTATCATGAGCTGTAATGACTGTAGAGCTTTACCTGAAAATTTAGAAAGCCATACTAGCAAATACTACAGCAGCTGATCATTAGGGCTGTAGCTGAGTCTCTCTCTCTCTTTTAACTGTTCCTCAGCGCCCTGTGGGACATAGAGACGGGCCAGCAGGCCACCACCTTCACGGGCCACAGCGGGGACGTGATGAGCCTGTCTCTCAGCCCAGACTCCAGAACCTTTGTGTCCGGGGCCTGTGACGCCACCTCCAAACTGTGGGACATCCGAGACGGCATGTGCAGACAGTCCTTCACTGGCCACGTCTCTGACATCAACGCTGTCTGTGTGAGTGTATGATGCAGAGGTGCTGTCGATGGCATGATACTGCAGCTGTGTAAAAACTCAGACATTTGCCTAAAAGTGTAAAAATGGTGAAATGTAGATTAAACTGGGAAAGATCATACGTTTCAGGATTTTGTAGGCCTGTCACGGTTTTACCTGATCAGTGATTAGAATTGAGTGCAGTTATTTAAGCTGCCCAAAATTATTTTCCATGCTTGTTTGTTTTAACAATTATATGTGTACATCATAACAAACAATGTGAGTTGGGTGCATTATCATCTGTTAGGCTCAGGCATTTATTGTGACATTTTACTGGTCTTAAAAGAACAAAACTTAACTTCTGACTTGGTGCTACATAAAACTTTATAGATGTCATGTTTGTTTATTTGATGTTAATTTGGCCTTTAGAGGGCAGTGGTGAGTCATGTTTGTTTATTTGATGTTTAAAGCTGCTGTTGAGTAATAGTAGTTTAGTTGATATTTGTTAATAACACCTTAAAAGGCTGCCGGTGAATAACATTTGTTAATTACACTTTTAGAAGACAGTGAGGAGGAATGTTTGTTTATTTGATGTTCGTTAACAATTCCTTTAGAGGGCAGTAGTGTGTGATATCCATTGAGGTTAATAACTCATTGGCATATTAACCCCTTTAGGGGGCAGCAATGAGTAATGTTTGTTTATTTGAGCTCGAGCATTGTCTGTCATTACACTACGTGTCCCCTTGCGCTTTTTATCACTGCATCCCGTCGTGCTTAATCTCTCTGCTCGCCGTGGCCGTTTCTATGTTGTTATGGAAATGAAGGGGCTGTATTGAACATAGGTGGGGCAGTAAACCATCTGATATAGCACAGTTACCTTAGCAAGTGACCTATATGAGCTCTGTATATATATGTTTTTTTTTTATTTTGTCTTCCCCCTCGAACCGTGTAAAGTCTATCCAGTGTTGTCTTCCCTCCAGATCCTCCACATCGACAGTTAGGAATCAAGATAGCTAATGGACAGGAAACACAGTCACGTTGTTAATTGCAGTTATTTACATGCCAATTATTTGCTAGCTAGCATTTCAACAGGCCTAGAGGGCTGTACCAGTGGGGTAAGGGCCGCTACTGGCCTGACACTGTCCTTAAACATCTTACACTTTTAAAGATCTTTTCAACTTTCCCTTACAATACTTATTCACTGTTAGTCTCCATATTTAGCCGAGTGGGAGGTAGCTGTGTTTCGCTTTATTCGGAAATGTAACCGCTAAAGGAGTTTCCATTACACCGTGACTGTGAGGGCTGATGATGTCGTCACTCGCTTGTAACAGATCTTCATTTAGTGTGTTCTCCATCTGGCTCCCCCTCCAGTTCTTCCCCAACGGGAACGCCTTCGCGACCGGATCAGATGATGCCACATGTCGCTTGTTTGACCTGCGTGCCGACCAGGAGCTGATGATGTACTCCCACGACAACATCATCTGTGGAATCACCTCCGTGGCCTTCTCCAAGAGCGGACGCCTGCTGCTGGCCGGCTACGACGACTTCAACTGCAATGTGTGGGACACGCTGAAGGGAGAGCGAGCAGGTCTGTGATGGTATCACACACACTAGGGATGTCCAAGTGAAGGTTTTTTTTAAACTCCCACTTTCACTCTTTTGTTTTTCACTTTCATAACTACAGAACTTGCACAGTAGTTTTGTAATAGATACTCAATAATAAGCTTTAAAGGGGAATTCTAGCCTAAAACTAAAGTTTAATGTCGTTTGTCGTGTTATGCTGTATTCTGTAGGTCAGTGTTGTATCTCTCAGCCTCAACAGTTTAACAGAATTAATCTATTTCATGTTTTCATTTATGTTCTCTCACTACAATGGTCTACTACAACAATTTGTGGTGTCAGCCAGTCCTGACTGCTAGCGTAGTCACTGATCTAGAAGCTAATGAATGCAGCCAAGCCAGCATCAACTCTGTCGGTGAACAAAATCCTGGAGAAAATCTTTATTCAGCGCAAAATGGCCAGAGCCAAGTTTGCTACTCTTTTAGTCAGAGAAAAGGAGCCAGACTGAGGTAACATAGCTGGATATCGAGCTGCTTTGCTACCTTTAACTTTTAGCTTGTTTTCGTTTTCATCTGAAGAGTCATTTTGGTTATTCTCTCCACTGTAATGATGATTTGAAGACTACCGCAATTATACAGAGGTCAGCCAGCAACCAGAAGGTTGTGGGTTCAAATGTCAGGACTGCCTGGTTACCTGGTTTTGCTCTTGGGCAAGGCACTGCACCAGATACCACTGCTCATGCGGTGCTGCTCATAGACTGGGCATATTTAGGCCACAGAATTACAAATTTTCCTTGTAGGCTCAATAATGTACATAATGTAGACATTGTCTAATTCAGAGTATTTATGTAAGAAATACTATGTTTTCCTTCCAGGCGTTTTGGCTGGGCACGATAACCGGGTCAGCTGTTTAGGCGTGACCAACGACGGCATGGCCGTGGCCACGGGCTCGTGGGACAGCTTCCTCAGGATATGGAACTGACATGATTGGATGGGACTCTGGAGAGTGATGGCCCACTCTGTCCAATCATAGTCATTGTAGCGTCCTGCTGCCACAGAGGAACCCTCCTCCTCCTCCTCCTTCCCTCCCTTTTCCAGGTGACCTGGTTTTCTTCATCTTCTCTTACTAGAGCCTGCCCCCTCCACCCACAACCCCCCCTGTCCCCAGCTTCAAGTCAACTGCAGAGGATGACGCCCAACTATGAGGACCCTCTCGTTCTCTCTATTTCTATCTATCTGTCTGTCCATCTGTCTGTCTATACGGCCTCATAACCTAAAGAACATGGGGGGATAGACTGTGTTGTGTATATATGATATTTGCTATTCTATGTGCTTGTATGTGAAATGTATGCACTTCTGACAGTGTTTGGATGTTGACGTGTGGATTCTCGTGGTGGGTGTGTCGGTTGTCCTTATTGTGTTTCCTTTCCTCGATTTATGGTTTTTCCTCTTTTTTTTGTAATCACAGTGTAGTTTTGCTGCACACACCAGGGCACTGCCAATGGTTTGGGCTTCTCCATGAATAAACCGACACGCTGTCCATTGTAGGTGCTGAAATCAACCTGCACTGGTCGTGTGGGTCAGTGTTAGATTCACCACAGCGATGTTTTAACACACCGGGGATATTTTGCAAGGGAGGATAACTTAAAGGAATATGCCAGTGTTTTTCAACCCAGTGTCCATCTGCTGTATCCAAACTTACACGTCTCTACTTGACAAAAGAACAGAAAATCCACTGAGTTGAATCACACTTACATTAGAAGTCAGTGGGCAGGTTCAGAAACATCTTCCCATTGGCTTCTTTCATAAGTCAGATGGTTTTCTGTCCTTTTTTAGGAGAAACTGCCTGTGGTAGTTGATCATGTATTACAGCTACAGCAGGTTGAAAAACGCTGGCCCAAAGACAGTCTGTCCAGTAGACAACTACAGACATTCTGTTTGGACAGTCATCAGTTTTGGTCTGATTTATTTACATGTTGGCGCTGAAGAACGGGCACTGAACTGGTGATGGTACACAGCCGATGGTGGCATACAGCAGCGTAAACGTTGCCATTACCAGCATTCGTTGCCTGCGTTTCCAGTAAAATCAACATCTGGTTTATTCCACTGTCGGCCGATGGCAGTAATTGGGGGAAAATTCTCTTTTTCGAACATGCCAGAATATTCCACCATGGCTCCATTGAAAACAACAGAATATCCAGTTGTCAGCCGTCTACCGCCAACATGTAAAGGCTGCAGAAGTCTAGCTTGCTGAGAAATCCAGCTTTGTGAAATACCCCCAGGTCAGCTGAAGGAGCACTTGAGGGTTGTGTACAGAGCATCAGTGACGCTGTTCCGCTAAAGCAGGCTGGCTGTCTGTTCCAGTGATCCAGGCTTGAGTTCATTTAGGGCATTAATAGTCAGCCATGGTGCCTCCTGCTCTGTCAAAAGCAGCCTCAGCAGCTGCCGTTGTGCCAGTTCGTATTTGCTGTCCTCCAGGCCATCGTGCAGTATTGTTTTGACCAAATTGGCTGGACATCATCCTGTTGGGTGTGCAAGAGGATGTCGTAGAAGCTTCGACTTTGGGCTCTGCCTTTTGTCAGCTTAGTTGAAGGAACAGCGGGATGCCATATGTAGTACTCTGTATTGGTCCTGTTTGATCTATTTTTACTACGGTATATGGTATAGGAGACGCATTTGGCAGACTGACCTCACACATGCTTATCAGGATGTGCTACATAACAAGAGGCCTTGGTCACTGTCACCTTGACTTTGGCTGTGTGTACTGTACCTTATCCACCCCCACCTTAAAGGTATATTCCAGTATTTTTCACACCTGCAAAAATACAGGTTAACGTTTACTGACAGAACTCAGCAGCTGCCCGTTAACCTCTATTACACGTGGTTTGAGTTTGTTTTTCTGTTCCTTTACTAAGTACAGGGAAATGTTAGTTATTGTCCGTAGTAACTGACCATACGCTACAGATGTGGGACATGGAGATTAGGTTGAAAAATGCTGAAATATTCTTTTAAACATCTGCTCTGGTGAGCATTTCCTTAAAAGCAAGCTTTTCCCTGCTTTTCTTCAGAACCTGGCTGGGCATTTGCATCAAATGAGGAATCTCTGAAAGGAATACCTCAGCATTTTTCAACCTAATACCCATCTTCTACATCTGTATCACAGGGTCACAGTTAGTGTGAACAGTCGATTCATCACGTTTCCCTGTACTTAGAAAAGAACAGAAAACACGGTGTCAAAACCTGCTTATAATAGAAGCCAGTGGCCAGTTTCTGAAGCAGCTGCCCATTGGCTTCTATTATAAGCGTCTTTCAAGATTCTCTTCTTGCTATTAAGTACAGTGAGATTACTGCCTGTCCATAGTAATTGACTGTACGCTGTATAAACGGCAGATAGTGATTAGGTTGAAAAAATACTGGCGTATTCCTTTAACACGGCACATAATGGTAGAGGTTTCTGAAGGCGTAGCCACCCATAAACGTACTGCTCCAACTGAAGGGTGAAACAGCCGAGTCTTAAACTATCATGGTTTTTTATGTGACCACAAGCTTCACTGTGTGTAATTTTCCACAAATGTGAGATGTGAGCGTTATAAAGCGGCACTGGGACGACTTCCTGTGTCAAACTCGAGAAGAGAGCAAGCCTTAACTGTCATAGTTCACTTGAAAGTCAGTAATCACCTTCATTTTGTGCCAGTCGGTATGAATGAACTAGAGTAATGAAGGCTGTTGTTATGAGTCTATTAAAACTGTCTTAATGTTTGTGTTCTTTTTCTATGAATGAAATGCTTTACTTCACAATTGAGCTTTAGGCTTTTAGCTAAAGCTTCTGATCAACAGTTCCCAGATCCAAGAGTTCAAAAGTGATTCTTTCTTGTGTTTCATATATTTTACTGAGTTCGAGTACAGTATTGTGAGTGGAGTTCTCTTAAATATTAAATCTTGTTTTTGTTTTCCCCATTTTACTGTACTTTGGCTAGACTCTGTCCTTTTGCCATGTCGTTGCTGTCCAAAAAAACAAGTGTCTCCAAAATGGTAACTTTACAAGAGAAGTCAAGCATTCTTTACTTTTAATATATGGAATTTAATTTTATGGTATTTTGTCAGTTATTTTGGAGCATTTCTGTTGGTCCAGTCATCATAAAGTCAGAAAAATCAGTTTTAAACACTTTTCCTCCATTTGCATGATACCATTTAAGGCATAAAAGCTGCCCGAAATTATCTAGTGATGCTTCTGAATTGCCAAAAGACATTTGAATAGTTTTAGGAAATTACTCCGTTTGACCTGCTGTGTTAAATAATACATCATTTTTCCAGTATAACAACAAAACTGTATATATTTGATGTGAATGTATTCTGTTGCAGGCTAACTGAATTCAACTGAATTTCCCTGTCATTTAAAATCAGTGATGAGTAAGGAGCAAGTTAATGACTATCCTATGGATACTTTGGCTAGCTACCTGGAACTTATCCTATGGATAACAGTGTTCTAGCAGGGCTTCTTCAGCCAGAATGTCAGAAAAATCAGCTTACTCCTTCGAAAAATTGGACAGTGGCCACTTTAACCGTAGCATAAACTGTATAAACCAGTGTAAACAGGGAAGTGCTGAACATGGAGCAGTGTTTAATAAAAGACTATGAAAGATTAGAAATCCCAAGAATTTAAACCTGAACAGTATTGCTTAGGCCTAATTTGAATTCAGAAAATTCCTCACTTCCTCTAAAGTCTCTGCAGGGGGAAATCCGTGCTGTAGGGGTGAAAATGTCCTCTGTGAATGATGCAACTTCTTGTGCATCCAGATAAACGCCTTGCTTTTGTTGGGCCAATGTACTGGAGTAGTAATGAGTGAAAAGTGGGCTGTCGCTGTTCGTTACATTTGTACTTGAGTGGTCTACAGTTTATTTTGCTGATTTTAATTTAGTTTTGAACAAAGGCTGAACAATAAAAAATGGATAATAGACTACAGAGTCTTTTAACTATTATAAAAAGTTTATTATAAAAACAACATGAACTAAAAGCTTTTAAAAAAGGGGGAAAAAACAAATACATTGTGGCATAAAATGTCAATCAGGCTGTTTCTTACTATAAATTAAAATATGCATTGTTTATGCAATTTTGCCAATAAATCACTGCTAAATCATTCAATAGGTACATTATTAGTGATACATTTTTTTTTGTAATTGAGTAATTGTGACAGCCCTACTTAAGAATAATTCAAGACCGGTTAAATATAGAAATTTAGAACTGTTTTTTATAAACTTCTGCAACATTTCCCCCCTCGAGTATTGTTAGAGGAAGTGAAGGCTTTATTCTGGATCCAAATTGATAAATGGTGCCAAACATCGATGAGAGCACTGTGTTCGTAGCCTGACTACAGTTTCATCATCACAGAAATTTAGATCAAACCCACAACGACAGTGACAAGAAACACCCGCCTTGAGCTAAAACTGAAAGTGCATGTGAGGTAACACTTCACAGCTTTGTCGCGGTGGCATCGAACCGCTCCATCGCCGGAACCGCGTTACAGGGCTCTAGCACAGCTACAGTTTCGCTTAGTCGCTTTGTCGTTTTATTTATGTGCATCAGCAAATGCCAGGGGTGTGATCTAATCTGATCTCTAAGGTTTACTTAGCTATGATTCTTTAGGAACATCATGAAATTTCACAATTCAATCTGGTTATTTTATAATTCAGAATTATAAAACTCTGATTAAACTAATGTGGCTGGAGGATGCCCAAATTTTCTGTCTTGGGGGCCTAAGTCCACCATTTCTGGTGGACCGAAGGCCAAAAAGACAAAATAATATAGAGTTAAGGAATGTAAGCAGGTTTCCATTCAAAGGTTTAAGGTCTGAATTCAAAGGTTTTAAAAATGTATGTAATGTATTTAGTAACATTGCACTGTCTTTTGTTACCTAAATACTGAAAAATAATTATGTTTGTTTATATATACATATGAAACAGTTTGGGTGCCTCTGGTCAAATTCTGATTTGTTAGAGTGAAAAATAAGTTAACACATCCTCTAAATTTTGTATTTTTACAATATGTTAAAACAGCAAAAAAATAAAAAATAAAAAGCACTAAAATTTGCAGAAAAAAATCCATGTTTAAGTCCCTGTAGAAGAAACTATTTTCACCTAGAAAGGCAACAAAACACGTACTTTGACTCGGGTGTTCAAACTTTTTCATGCAACTGTATATATACCCCCTTTGGGCCACCCTGCAATTTATTATTATTATTTATATTAATAATTAATAGTAGTATTTTTACATTTGAAAATAAACCTGCGATTGTTATTTTGACCAAAAAATGACATACTTTACTGAATATTATTCTAATTGATCATAACTGATTCTTACATTCCAAACTCAATTCAAATCAATGCATTTTTGCACCCCAAGTATTTGCGCTTTAATTTGGAAGACTTTATGGACAGAATTTTGTGTTTGGATGTCATAGACGTGGTTTGTAGGACCGGGCTTCTTCCGTCTGACAAAACCAGTCCTTTGTACGTTCAGTACCTTCATATATGACTAAAAATACCAGTGAACAGCACATAAAAAACCGAAGTGCACTCTTCCAAGCAGGGTAACAAAGCACGTCTTTGTTGCGTTGTTGTTTTTCATCAAAAAGTATATACACACGTAACCGAAGCGGCCTAAAGGTGCCGCAGAAGGCCGATTTACATCAGAAGTAAAGGATACTCTCTTCTACGTGCCTGTACTACACAACCAAACCATTATCATCACTGTATTACGCCGCACACACACACGTCCTTCTGTGCCTGCTATAACTGTATAATTAAAGACGTTCATTTACGGTTTTGCTGCATTTTTATTTCTCCATTTAGAACTGCACCTCTCATTGATGATTTTCCTGTCTACATTAATCAGACTGTCAGAAAAATGTCAGTACAACTTATTGCCTCTTGATACTAGCTTACTCGTGTTGATTACCTTCACTTTTTAATCATCAGAAGCAGATGTGTTATTTTCTCTTGGTCCAGAAAAAAGATGATTATTATTCCCAGTCGATGCTTTCTATGAATTTTTTTTAAACACCAGATTTTTATTTGTATTTGTACAGTGGCTGAGTGACACTTGTTGCTGTTTGTTCTCATAACCAATAAAGGCTTTTCATCAAAGCACAGTGTCAGACTGGTGTGTCTACATTATATCATGTACTATCAAAAGTGAATGTATGACTTCCATAATATTACACGGATGATTTTAAAATACCTGATCAGATCGCCCGGCATAAAATCATATAAGGGCTTCGGTGAACAGAAAAAAGACCCCCCCCGGTAAAGTGAAAGATGACCTTTAAACCTATAAAGAGGGCTTATATTAGAAAGTTTGAGTTCCACCAGCCACCACTAGAGGGCAGCAGAGTCCACTGCATTAGTTAAACTGGTGTTTTGTTATATAATACAGCAACCTAAAAGAAACAGCTATGCATGTACACTGATCAGGCATAACATCATGACCACCTCCTTGTTTCTACGCTCATTGTCCATTTTATCAGCTCCACTTACTATATAGGTGCACTTTGTAGTTCTACAGTTACAGACTGTAGTCCAACATGTTAGTGTGTGTTGTGCTGGTCTGAGTGGATCAGACACAGCAGTGCTGCTGGAGTTTTTAAACACCTCAGTGTCGCTGCTGGACTGAGAATAGTCCACCAACCAAACATATCCAGCCAACAGCGTCCTGTGGGCAGCGTCCTGTGACCACTGATGAAGACACAGTGTTTAAAAACTCCAGCAGCACTGCTGTGTCTGATCCACTCTTACCAGCACAACACACACTAACACACCACCACCACGTCAGTGTTACTGCAGTGCTGAGAATGATCCACCACCCAAATAGTACCTGCTCTGTGAGGGTCCATGGGGGTCCTGACCACTGAAGAACAGGGTAAAAGGGGGCTAACAAAGTATCAGAGAAACAGATGGACTACAGTCTGTAACTGTAGAACTACAAAGTGCACCTATATAGTAAGTGGAGCTGATAAAATGGACAATGAGCGTCGAAACAAGGAGGTGGTCATGATGTTATGCCTGATCGGTGTATGTATGTATTATGTATTGATTGTTGATTTTCTAACACGCCTCTGCACATTTTAGTACACGATTACTGTTTATTTGCTGGAGTTAACAAATTAGGAAAAATGAAAAAATGCACCAAAGTTGGCAGAAAATACCTTATTTAAGTGTTTTAACTTATTTTCACTTAGAAAATCAACAAAACGTCATTTGACCAGGGGTGTTCAAACTTTACCTCATTACACACACTCTTCAATGAAAAAAGATATCATAAGGAACCATATACTGTGTAAACTCATCAAGCATTAACCCATATATCACTCTATTTGCATTTTCTCTGTAGAATATTACAGTGATGTACACAAAGTTTTCTTGACCTGTGATGATCTAATAATAATAACAACAATAATGTTTTATTTATATACTGCTTTTTTTTCCTAAGTCTACGTCGCTGTACAATACAACATATAAAATGTGAGGGAAAAAGAAACGACCACAAAACTAGTCAATAACAACCGTTAATATGAGTGTGACAGCACTGTGTGTAAAGATGTCTTAAAAGGAAATTCCAAGATTTCTGTATCATTAAATAGTTAAGGTGTAAATAAAGTCATTCAGAGTGGTTTGGTGTTAAATGCTCTGTTTTACAGAGTCAGAACTGTTCACAGTGGTGATGGGAACCAGACGTCCACTTCTAAGAACTCCCTCACAGAAAGTTACTACATGAAAGATTTACAGATAAATCTTTTTTTTTGAGGTTTTGGTTCAAAACATTTTTAAAATCCATTCATGGCCGAGAGGTACATGCAGGGTGTTGTGAGACAAAACAATCCCTGGTTCCTATCACCGCCACTGTAAAGACATCTGAGTCTTTACAATCAACCATTTCACATCAAACCACTCTGAATGACTTTGTTTACATCTCAACCACTGAGTTATACAGCAATTCAAAAAATCACTAAGTTTGGATTTAAAGAAGAGTGTTACAAAGCTTTGGAGCTAAACAGCTGTGTGCAAGGAGTCAAAAGTGGACCTATGGCAGGGGAACTAAGGCAGTGTTTCTCAATCTGCTCCTGGAGGCCCACTGCATTGCACACTTCAGTGCTTTGCATGGTTTAACTCAGCCCCTTTAACCCAATAATGGGCTGTTAATAAGCTGATTCGTTGGACCAGGCGTGCTGGGAGCAGGGAAAACACTAAAAAGTGCAGGGCAGTGGGCCTCCAGGACCAGGGCTGAGAAACACTGATAAGGGAACAAGGTTGTAGGTACAGATGGAGAAGTTCCGGTTGTTGGGAATAGCTAAGTCTATTTAGTGCTTTATAAGGAATGAAGAGGAGTTTAAATTAAATGTGAACGGTCATAGGAAGCCAGTGTAACTGAAGTCCTAGGCCCAATCCCATTTCTTATTTTTACCCTACCCCTTGTTTTTCGAGTGTCACCTTGGCCCTTGAAACTGAGTTATAAGGCGAAGTGGTTGAAATCTTCCCCATGAAATGGGACCCTCAAATAAAAAAGAACATCACTTCATTAACAGCTACTGGCGCTGCTCTGTAGGCGACGCTGCCAGTCTGCAGTGACAGCAGAGGAGGGCAAAGTTCAGCTTCTCACTGCTGGGCTTTAGTTACATTTAGGGCATCATGTGCCTTCAAAGAGGGCACAATTATTTATTATCGCCCACCCCTAATTCTTTAGTGATACAAAACTGAAGTCAGCTATTCGCCAGCTTTTTGTTCTAATTTTTCCATTTCACCAACTTTTAAGGTGGAACCGAAAATTTAGCAAGCTAATTACCAAGACATCAACATGCTACTACCGATTTTTATGCTTTTTATGAAAAACCATAATACACTGAAACAACATTAAACTAAGATAATACAATACTTTTCGTAATTTTTAACAGAAAATGTAGCCCTAACACTTCATCCTACCCCTCTATCTCAACTAGAAACAGGACACCCTACGCCTAGACGTGAAAGCACAAAATGGAGGGGTAAGGGCTAAGTGGTAGGGACGAGGGGGTGAAATGGGATTGGGCCTCACTGTTGAGTGTTTAGATATTGTGCTGAGAAAGACTCCAACTGAGACTCCAAATCTGTGGCCTTGTACCTACAAGAAAGAACAGCATTCAAGACAGATTTCAAGATGGAAGCAGGGTTTTTTTTGCTTAATTTGAACAAATTGAAGACATTTTGATGCTCTTCTCCATTTTGCCACTGATACTGTGTTTAGGTAGCTAAAAATTCCAGTAACTGATACTGTCCAATAGAATTGTGTTTGTACAAAAATATTGCATTTAAACAGAAGTAAAATTTCCCCGTTGTGGGATTAATAAAGGATTATCTAAGGGTAGAGTCAGATACGATGTGAACATGTGTTCTGCTCAATTTGCAGCACAAAAATATTGGTGATACTATTGCCTGATATACTGGTGAGGCCGTACTACAGCGTTTGGTATGTGAGGGGTGTTTATCTGTGGTGGGAATTCTATGTCTGTCTCTCGTGTACCTGAGAGTTTTGGAGTGTCTCTGGACGCTTTCCAGCCGCTGGATCTTGGCGTTGAGTTTACGGATCTCCGTCTCCAGCTCCATTTCACTCTTATCCACCTGCTGACACATGCGGGCAAAGACGCCCACCAGCTCCCTACGAAAATCCACAGATTCCAGTCAGTCACACCACCAACCTTCACCCCTCCACCCCTCCTTCAGGCAAGCATGTGAAATTACTTCATCAGGAGACCAAATGACCTTTAAATCAGGGCCTGACCGGTATAATTTCAGGGCCCAATTAATTAGCCTCTGTTTAGGTCATTGCATCTCCCAACTACAGCACAAATCTGACAGCTGTGCCACTAAGGAACATGATATGAGCCAGTCTGTTTAACTATAGCAATACAGGCTAAACTGGTAAAACTGAACACTAAACACCATCATAGTTAAATGTATCCAGACTCAACCTTTAGCACAAGAATAACATAACAAAAGCTGTCTTTTAACAAGGATAACTCCGTTGGGAATCAGTTCAACAGGCCCCTCCAGTATGCACCGCATTAAGTTTTTAGGTTCTTAGGTCAGTTTTTTAAGATTCACCTACACTATATTGCCAAAAGTATTCACTCACCCATCCAAATCATTGAATTCGGGTGTTTCAATCACTTCTATGGCCACAGGTGTATAAAACCAAGCACCTAGGCATGCAGACGGCTTCTACAAACATTGTGAAAGAATGGGTCGCTCTCAGGAGCTCAGTGAATTCCAGCATGGTACCGTGATAGGATGCCACCTGTGCACCAAGTCCAGTCGCCAAATTTCCTCACTACTAAATATTCCACAGTCAACTGTCAGTGGTTTTATAACAAAGTGGAAGTGATTGGGAACGACAGCAACTCAGCCACGAAGTGGTCAGCCACATAAAATGACAGAGCGGGGTCAGCGGACGCTGAGGCGCATAGTGCGCAGAGGTCGCCAACTTTCTGAAGAGTCAATCGCTACAGACCTCCAAACTTCATGTGGCCTTCAGATTAGCTCAAGAACAGCATAGAGAGCTTCACAGAATGGGTTTCCATGGCCGAGCAGCTGCATCCAAGCCTTACATCACCAAGCGCAATGCAGAGCGTCGAATGCAGTGGTGTAAAGCGCCGCCACTGGACTCTAGAGCAGGGCAGACGTGTTCTCTGGAGTGACGAATCACGCTTCTCCGTCTGGCAATCCGATGGACGAGTCTGGGTTTGGCGGTTGCCAGGAGAACGGTACTTGTCTGACTGCATTGTGCCAAGTGTAAAGTTTGGTGGGGGGGATTATGGTGTGGGGTTGTTATTCAGGAGTTGGGCTCGGCCCCTTAGTTCCAGTGAAAGGAACTCTTAATGCTTCAGCACCAAGAGATTTTGGACAATTTCATGCTCCCAACTTTGTGGGAACAGTTTGGGGACGGCCCCTTCCTGTTCCAACATGACTGCGCACCAGTGCACAAAGCAAGGTCCATAAAGACATGGAGGAGCGAGTTTGGTGTGGTCCTGACCTCAACCTGATAGAACACCTTTGGGATGAATTAGAGCAGAGACTGCGAGCCAGGCCTTCTCGTCCAACATCAGCGTCTGACCTCACAAATGCGCTTCTGGAAGAAGGTCAAAAATTCCCATAAACACTCCTAAACCTTGTGGAAAGCCTTTCCAGAAGAGTTGAAGCTGTTATAGCTGCAAAGGGTGGGTCGACATCATATTAAACCCTATGGATTTAGAATGGGATGTCACTCAAGTTCATATGCGAGCCAATACTTTTGGCAATATAGTGTAGTTCTCCTTAGAGATTAGGGTTGTAACAAAACTCTGTAGTTCAGCTAGTCTACCACTGCCATAGACCAGGACTGGGCCAAAAAAACAATATAATATTCCATTTCATATAGTATCAATACAGTTGTATGCAAAACTTTCAACACCAGTAGTCAAATTACATGTTTTTCTAGGTGAACAAGGTTAACAAATCCTTTACAGAGAACACACAAATATGGAATTGTTCTGAAAACAGTAGTGCACAATTTCTGCATTTGCTGAGTTTAACATATTGGAAAAAATAAAATAAATTTAAAAATATTAAATGTGCCATTACTTTTGCACAGGCCACATTTTATGTTTTATTTTTTCCCCCAATATGTTTAAACCAGCAAATAAACAGTAATTGTGTTTTAAAATGTGCAAAAGTGTGTTCTCTGCAGAGGAAGTGTAGTTTGACATGGGGTGCCCAAACCTTTGCATATAACTGTAATTATATTTGTTGCGTGAATTTCCTGATGTTAAATTTTAGGTCTGAACAATATTGTGATTCCTGAAGAAAACAAGTTTCCTGGTATACTACTCAAAACTAATTATTAAGTTCGCAAAATCTGTCTGGACCACTTGTGAGTCATATCCTTGGCTTTGTTCTGGCCTGATAAACGGCTGGGTCCTCAGCCCAGATCTGCCCCTCACACAGTAAACTGAGCAGAACTAGTGAATGTGGCCAAAATCTGGCGCTAATCTGGCCCAATTACTTTTTTGGTCCACAACAGTTACGTCAGTATTGGCCCACAGATAAAAACGCCACGCAAAACTGTATGCAGCTGTACGGCATCTGCACCGTGTGCCCAACATCTGCCCTGCAGTCAACCAAAACTCACTAATGAAAGCCAGAATCGGCCCAGAACTGTCTGCTATACAGTACCATTCAAAAACTTGGAATCATTGTTTACTAAAATATATAATCTATTTTGTTACAGATAAATGTATAAAATTATTCCAGTGTTATAGTCTGATACAACGTCACATTTTCCAAAGAATTAGAAAGAAGCTAGAGGACAAAAAAGGACATTTTAGAAAAAATAAGTATATTATTAAGTATATTATTCATCATTTGATAATTTATTTTATTGCCTGTAAAAAGTTTTGAATAAAACATCTAAAAACACATTTTTGTATGTGTGTAATTTGCAATGTTTAAATCTACACTGTGCAAATTATGATCATATAAAACAATGAGAAAAATTATTAATATGATTCCTTTTTATGTGCCTTTTTTTTGTAACAATCTATGTTGTTCTAGGATGTTTACCTCAAACATGCTGCCTTTCTTACTCTCCGTTATTTAAACACTAAAAATAGCTAACTCTGCTAACTCTGTCACTAGGCTTCTTCTCCCTTCTCATCTAGAGAGTAATACATTAACACAGTAGCCACTGTTCAAAGTTTAAGCACTGCTGCTAATTCTGACTGAGAAACAGAGCTGCATAATAATTACATCTAAAACAACCCAAACTTTTATTTTTACTATTAAAAAATGTCTGATTTTAAACATTATTGTTACGGATTCATCGCCAGGTCTACTGCAGACACCCACTGTTGGACCTGCAGGCCGCAGTTGCTGCTGGTGATGTGGGAGATGGCCTGCAGCCTCTGGGTGGCGAACTCCACAAACTGCTGCTTCAGGGCCTTCTCTCTGGAGCTGTTGGTCCAGGTCAGCTTCTCATAGACGTAGATCAGGGCGTAAAGACTTACAGAAAAGATAATGATCCTCCATCCCACAGAACGCCATACCTGCCAAAATACAAACATTTTGCACTCTCTGACACTTTAGTCCTGGAGCCCCTGTACTGCTTAGTTTTGTGTTTCTCCTGCTTTAAAACATATAATTAATCAATGATCGAGTCCTGCTGGAGCTAAATTGTGTTTTGAAGCAGGAAAACCTTAAAACGGCAGCACAGGTGGTGGAAATGCTGCTCCAATTAACAGTAGCAAGATCTGTATTTTCAATGAACACAACCTAAAATAAGAATTGTGTCAATTGTTGCGTTAGAACATTCATAACGTTACACACTGTAGCAACATCTGTGCTCCTTTATCTAGTGCAGCTGAGTTAACTACATCCTTTAGTTGGAATCTCTGATGAACATAAAGGTGCAGGTGTTTCTGAACATGTTTCCAGACCTGACGAATGTTAAGGCTATACCTGGGGTAGGAGAGAGCAGGGGCAAAAACTAACATGGGGTAAAATTAAACAAGGACTTTTGTAGCTGAACAGGTTCAAGTAGGAAAAGCTTTTGCTCACCTTCTCATATTCCCATAGCAACGTCATGTGTGAATTTTGACAACAATCTGACAACAATTTCTCCTGATTCACCCTGGGCTTAAAGACAGCCTCCATGTGGTGGGGTTCACATGGTGTTACAAGACCTCTAAAGTAAACACTGATAGAAGTGGGAGATAATAATAGTTGTTTTTTTTTGCACAGTGTCATCAAAAACATACCACAGATTAATAAGATATATTTTATTTTTTTATTCTGTTATTAGCTCTTCCACTTTCTGGTCAAAAATAAAACTGCCATGTTTGACATTCTTTTCACTAATCATATTTTCATGTATTATACTATTTTGTATATTTATATATCATTCTAGCAGTTATGTATTATTCTAATAACGTTTTCAGAAAAGTTTGAACACCCCATGATGAATTAGGTACAAGTTATGCTTTGTTGATGTTCTAAGTGAAAATAAGTTAGAGAACAAACTTACATAGCATTTTTCTACACAACTTTTATTTACTTGCTGCGTTTAACACATTGAAAACAAGTAAAATGTAAAATATAGCATAACGTTTCCACAAGCCACATTTTGTGTTTTAATTTTTTCCCCAATATGTTAAATCTATTAAATAAACAGTAACTGTGCCTTAATATATGCAGCAGTGTGTTCTCTGTAGAGGACGTGTTAAACTAGTTTCACTTAGAAGATCAACAAAACATATCATTTGACAAGGGGTGCCCAAATTTGCATGCGAATAGACGCTGGTAAGCTTGTCTGGTTTAAAGAACATAGAATTGTACTGAATTAATTGTGTGCATCGATTTACCAGACTGTTAAAACCAGCCTGCTGCAATTGACCCTGCCTTTGGGGTTAGTTGTAACATTTACACCTTTTTTTAGCTGAATTAGGTGCTAGAAATAATGTTTAAATTTTAATTTTTTGTAACAGATGTGTACATCGTGGTTTATCAAAAAACAAACTGTGCTAGGCAGTGCCTCGCTCTCTCATACCCAGTTCCAGCCCTGAACCGCAGAAAAGTTTGGTGATTTCTCTGCTCTAATACCCCTCACAGGTAAAGACAGTTAAGGCAGAACGAACAGCAAAGGGCACCTCAGCTCCTGATATCAGAGACATCTTTTGGGAGGACTTATATTGTCAGCAGGCAGACTGTAAAATCCCATATCATCGCTGGTTTTATGTTTGTCATTACAGCCTCAAACCAAACAATTTCTAGGTAGTTTGTCTATCGCGAGGCTTTGTTTGGGTTTGTTCTGCAGTGTTCGTATTCCCTGATTACCTGACTACAATCACCATAAACACTAGAACTAAACCTGCTTGGCAGCTACGCTTGAGCGGATGACCTGGGTGGGCGGGAAATGTTTGATGTTGCACACATCACATAGTTAAAACAGCTAGCTAGTACATGACTATGAGCACTTTAGACTCAACAAAATATTACTGTATGAAGATGTACACACGTGCATATGAAGGTCTATCACACTCGCATGATTCTGATCTTTTTTGTATTCGCACTGATGTGAAGTACACTATAAACTGTAAGATAGTAAGTTTCCTTAAATAAAAGAGTTGTGAAACCAGTTGCCTAACATTAATTTCAAATTAACTGTACAAAACTCTTTTGGTAAAATATCAATTTGTTCTAACATACATTTATATATAATGAAGTAATATATACTATTACCATTAACAGTGTCCTTGTGAAAAACAATCATCTTATAAAACAGTTTAACTGAGCTATTAACAATACAAAAACCTGACATGTCATATTTTCCACAGTGTGGTCATTGAGATCTCCAGAAGAGAGTGTGGGATGTACTGGCTTTACAGTGTTTCCATACATTCACTGTTTTCTGATTTCAGTAATGTACTGAACTTGCTACACCCTCATTAAGTTGTTTTTTTTAGAGGAGGGGTAATCACCATACTGTGCTGGACATTCCCCGAGTTACACATTACTTACCACTCCACCAATGACCAGCATGCTCATGGAGGCCCGAGATGTGAGCGAGGCCAGTCCGGTTGCCACGGAGACCGCAAGCTCCTCCTGGGCCTCGGTTCTCATGGGAGCGGAGTGAAAGGAGGCCTACAGTGACAAACCACATGGCTCAGATTTAGACATAATTCTGCAAAAATAATCTACTAATATTTACAAACTATATATTATAAATAAGCAAGGACTATTTTGAGGGGAATTACACATTTTTTTTTAATTCTGCATAATTAAATGGTCAAAGTGTACACAAAGTCACTCAGAGTGGTCTGGTGTGAAATTCTCCGTTCTAGAGAAACTTACCAAGTCAGAATTGTTCACAGTGGTGGTGATAGTTTAATGCCTCTAAAAGCTACATCACTAAAAGTGGTTATATAAAATGGTTAGGAATACGCTGCCTGTCAACGAAGACATTGTTTTACGATGGTTTTGAGAAGGTTTTGGCCTATTTTTTTTTTTAATTCATGCTGTACATGCAGGGTGTTGTAAGCCAAAATACATACATACATCATCTAAACAGCTTCTCCTTCTGGGTCGCGGTGGGGTGCTGGAGGCTATCCCAGCTGTCATTGGTCGGAAGGCAGGATACACCCTGGACAGGTCGCCAGTCCATCGCAGGGCAGACAGACAGACATACATATACAATCACACACACATTCACACCTAGGGGCAATTTAGCATTTCCAGTTGGCCTGACTGCATGTCTTTGGACCGTGGGAGGAAACCGGAGTACCCGGAGGAAACCCACGCAGACACGGGGAGAACATGCAAACTCCACACAGAAAGGACCCCGGTCGCCCGGCCAGGAACCGAACCCAGGCCCTTCTTGCTGTGAGGTGACAGCGCTACCTACTGCGCCACCGTGCCGCCTAAGCCAAAATAGCCCTTAAAAAATATTTTTTTCAGATTTTCCACCATTTTACCATTTTAGAACATTACATGTAAAAACACAAGACACATATAGGTTCACTGGAGGTTTTGGATAGTAAATAAAATGTCTATATTTGTGTTGTAGACATTGTGACCCCTGGTTCCTATCACCACCACTGTAAAGAAATCTGAGTCTCTACAATAAGCCATTTCACATCAAACCACTCTGAATGACTCTGTTTACATCTCAACCACTGAACTATGCAGAAGCTTTGACAAATCAGTGGAATTCCCTACAGATCTGTTTGAACATTATTTCTAGTACTGAGATATTTATCTCAGTTATTACATAAATCCTTTACCTTCAAGTTCTTGTCCAGGATGTTGAGGGCTTGCCTCGCTTTAGCTGGTCCCAGGAAACGGTTGACCAGGGCCGTCCACCCCAGGGAGAACTGAAACTCAATGTCCTCCTGGAAGTCGGCACAGAGAGCCCTGAAGTTCAGCTCATAGGCCATCTCAAACTTCCTGCTCGGAACATGCATGTGCAGGTGGCTTCGGGCAGCAGGGGGCAGCAGAGGACTGATGGTGTCTGAAAGTGAGGACAGAAAATGGTCCACGTAAAACAGTTATATTTAAGGACTCTGGTTTTATATAATCTTGTACGCAAAGATTTGAACACCCCTGCTAATGTTAGTGCCAAAATTTAAAATTAAAAATTATTTCCTGAGTTTATTTTGAGAAAAATTAACCATAAAACAAAGTGTGCCAAATTTAAAAACAGGCCAAATTTGTGTTGTTTTTTTTTCTGAACATGTTAAATTCAGCAAATAAACAGTAGCTGTCCATTAACAGAAGTGTGTTTTGCATGTATGTGTATGCTGGGGCAAATAAAGTTCATTTATTTGCATTTATACCTATAAAGTCCCTCTGTGATGAAAGTACACAGCCACCGATACTGCTGGAGCAGCGAACAGCCAAGTTCCTTACCATCCTCTCCTCCACATACGCCATCAGTTTCTGTAACACACAGACACATTCAAGCATACATTAGAATGATTCTTAATCTGTTTATTCTACACAGACTACATGACTTGCTCTGTCAATTAACTTATTAATAAACTGAAAACTGTCTCAACCGTCTAAAAGACAGAACAGAACATAGTGTGTCAGATGTGGTAATCAAGGCATGTAAATGCTGCTCTGAGTCAGTTTTTTTCTGTGCTCTCTACACGGTGACCACTGAGACATTAAGAGGCTTTCTACTAAATCCTGTTAAAGTGGTGACACAGAAAGATCTCACTGAGCATGTAGCTTTCAAAAGGTAAGTCAGTGACAAATTAAACTCTAATACTAACTCTGATACTAATTCCCTGCTTGGTCACAATAAATTTAACACACCTCACCAATCTGATAAAATCTGAACTCTGATATTTTCCTCATTTAAGCCCCTTTATAGCTTTTTCAAAATTTCTGCAAAATTAAATGGTTAGGGCCGGGCAATATGACAACAGTTCTCATTATGATGATAAATTACACCAATCAGGCATAACATTATGACCACCTCCTTGTTTCTACGCTCATTGTCCATTTTATCAGCTCCACTTACTATATAGGTGCACTTTGTAGTTCTACAGTTACAGACTGTAGTCCATCTGTTTCTCTGCATACTTTGTTAGCCCCCTTTTACCCTGTTCTTCAGTGGTCAGGACCCCCATGGACCCTCACAGAGCAGGTACTATTTGGGTGGTGGATCATTTTCAGCACTGCAGTAACACTGACATGGTGGTGGTGTGTTATTATGTGTTGTGCTGGTCTGAGTGGATCAGACACAGCAGTGCTGCTGGAGTTTTTAAACACCTCAGTGTCACTGCTGGACTGATAGTCCACCAACCAAAAATATCCAGCCAACAGCGTCCTGTGGGCAGCATCCTGTGACCACTGATGAAGGACTAGACGATGACCAACATAAACTGTGCAGCAGCAGATGAGCTATCGTCTCTGACTTTACATCTACAAGGTGGACTGACAAGGTAGGAGTGTCTAATAGAGTGGACAGTGAGTGGACACTGTTTAAAAACTCCAGCAGCAGTGCTGTGTCTGATCCACTCGTACCAGCACAACACACGCTAACACACCACCACCACGTCAGTGTTACTGCAGTGCTGAAAATGATCCACCACCCAAATAGTACCTGCTCTGTGAGGGTCCATGGGGGTCCTGACCACTGAAGAACAGGGTAAAAGGGGGCTAACAAAGTATGCAGAGAAACAGATGGACTACAGTCTGTAACTGTAGAACTACAAAGTGCACCTATATAGTAAGTGGAGCTGATAAAATGGACGATGAGCATAGAAACAAGGAGGTGGTCATAATGTTATGCCTGATCGGTGTACATAACAATATGTCACAGTTTGCTTTTCTGAGCAAGGATATCGTCAGTACTTAAACATTTCCCAACTGCATGTTTCGTTACAAAGATAGCATAATTAGTTTTACTGGATCTAGTGAAGCATGTATCGTGAAACTTCTTGAAGTATTGTGATGTTACGCTTCTGTGGTATTGCTCACCTCTATTACACAGTATTCATGGTGAAGAGGTATATGAAGGGAGTTGTAAAGCAAAAACAATGTATTGGCTCTAATTCTTGAGTAATTAAACTCAAAATTTTGATGGTAAAAACTGTTTGTGATCTCTCAACCATCAAATTGATCAAGAGGTTGCGCCGGCTGTAAACAGCCATTTAGGGGTCATAATCTTCACGGTTACAAAATGACACTTTCACAGAGATCAGATAGACTGAAAACTCAAATTTCACTTTTACTTTTTAGTAAAGAACTTTTAGTTCTTTAAAAGTTGTGTTTTTGGTGATACTGTACACCCGTTATGTTCCACACAGATCCAATTGATTAGCCTTTCATTACAGTAAAACCTTCACTCTTCACACAAGTGCTACATACAGTAAATGCAATGTTTAAAGGAAAGAGGCAAAAGTCTGTTTTGTGGCGTCTACCTCACGATGGGGATGCTACACACACCTGCTTTAACCTCATGAAGGTTTTGCAAATTAACAAATATGATGAGTTTCTTTGGGAGCTGAGAGTGCAGCGGTATCCAGGGATCAGTTTTAGTAACCACTGCCCAGCTGACAGGAGAAAACTGTTTGGGGGACTTACAGTTTTGTACAGAGCCAAGGCGTTAGCTGCAGGGCTAAAATCTGAGCAGAATTCATCCACTATCACAGACAAGAGATGTATCTCCTCCGCCATGGCACTGGCTACCTAAAAAACAACAGTAGGAACATTAAAACCCTCACAGTTCTGCACAGAAGGAGCCATCAATATTAGCCATATTATGAAAGTGAAGCAGTCTCTGTTGTGATAAGACATTCAAGTAGCTCTATAACTCATGTGGCGTGCTACCTTGGAGGAGACGTCATCTGCAATGACCTTTATCCTGTCTTTGGTTTCCTCAGTCAGAAAGTTAAGCTGATTGCGCACAAACTCCAGGCGGTCCATGAGAGCCTCTCGCTCCTCCAGAGACAGAACCCTGCAGGATTACAGCAGATAACAGGACGAAGAGTTCAGCCTTAGGACTGCAAGGTGAAGCACCTTCCACTAGATATGCAATGATCAGTTGTTGACATCAGTTATGGAAATGGTCAACATGGTGTTTACTTAAAAAGAAATGCACATGACGTTCATATGACAAGGGTGGAGTACACTTGAGTGATTGTACTTTGTTACTGTACTTATATATTATTTTGGAAGACTCATACTTTACTCAAGTTTTATTGAAAATTAAAGCTTTTACTCAATTACATTTCTAATAGAAAAAAACATACTAGTACTAAGTCAACTTCTAATCAGTCGAGTCCTTGTGCATTTGACTTTATTACCTTTATTAAAACATCCAACCAAATTCATAAGTGTAAAATGAAACTGCCCACAGCTGAGCTAATTTGTCTTTGTTTGAGGACCAGCACCACTGATTTGTCACCACCAAAGGTCGCAAACTACTAAACAAACAAAACATTTAATTTATTTGTTAAAAAATTACATTTTATGTTTATAGTCTTGAGTACAGTGCACAGACTTTGGTGGGGTCAGGAGTTGAAGTGTTCCAAAAGAGCAATTTGTTCCTATCAGGACTTTTTTGTTTATGACAATACTATTATAGACAAAAGTTATTGTAATATTGTGGTATTCTGTACGCAGATGTAATATTGATTATACAAATAAGTATATTCAAGACCTTTTTGCTTGTTGCAAGAACTAAGCACAGACCTAATCCTAATAAATGTCCATTTAAATCATTACACTGACAATGTAATATTATCCAAACTCTTTATTCAATATATGATCATACTTAGCACCTCAGTAAAATACATTATTATTATTATTATTATTGTTATTATTATTATATCCAGAAACAGAAAACTATGTACTCTACCTTCATTTATCAGCTTGTTAAAGGTGCTTTAAATTCAACTGTAAATATTCAAGCTATCTCAATAATCCTAAAGATTTCTCTGCCTAATCAGGACTGTGTGTGCCATTCAGGCCGCATGGTGATTGTAACCATGGCAAAGTAAACAACCCCATGACAGCAGATTTTTTTCTTTTAAGCTTTTATTTTCTGGCAGTAGTCAGACTTTGAATAGATGCCATTTGACCTGCAGTTATCCCACCAGATTGCAGCTCACAACAAGAAGCGCAGGGGGCGATATGGCTTCTGTTATTTTGTTGCCTCATAAAAGAAGAAATTAGAACTCTAAATGATTGCAGCGCTAAACCGAGAGCCTCCAGCTTTTGCCTTCCATCAAGCGTCACCGCAAGTAAGCTGCTTAGGTACGAGAGAAGTGCTCTTTTCACTTCCACTCATTTCGGGTTGATTTCAGTCCAAAAACAAAGGCACATCTGAGCCATTTTAGATTACAGTATGGCCCTGTCGTCTTCTTCAGCGCAAAGACTGCTCTGTAACTTGATCCACAGACTCGACGATCACTTTATAGCTTTGAAAAGAAACTTTTCTGTGACAGTACAGAAAATAATGTTATAAAGCTGCAACTCGCTACACCGCACTGTAATGCTTAAAGTAGAAGCTCCTCAATCACATAAATCATGAAGCAGGTTCAGTTCGCAATAATAATAATAATAATAATAACTCTTGATTTCATGAAAATTTTATGTTTGATTATTTGACAAAAATATTACCAACAGAGACAGGAATCACACTAAATAATTTCATAAAGTGGCTAAAGAAATGTATTTATTTGTTTTTTTAATTTATAACATTTTTAATTGTTTTTTCATTGTTCATGTATTTTTATAACTAATCATGTAATTATTTATTCATTAATCTATGCCTTTAATTTGATTAAGGCTTTATTTTGATTGTAAAATGATAACAATAATAAATTCAATATAAAATACATTATTTACATTATTATCATTTTTGCCGTAATTATGCTTTTTTCTGTTATGATCATTAATAAAAGTTTAGTTGGCGCTGCATGTTTTCAACATGTCTTTCTCTTACTATGTTGTTCTGTTCTAAAGTCTAAAATACATTTTACACAGACAACTAATGATGGAAGTAGTAACTAAAATTCATTTTGTGGTGAAAGTGTCCTGTCGTGCTGAACGGTTACGATGGTTTATGTTCCTTCAATGCGTTTACAAATTTTTGCTGGGCAGCTTCTACAAACAGTGCAGTAATTTGCACCTCACACTGGAGATCTGCGTCACTAAGGCACCTGCGAAGTCTCACGCGTTCCCAGTGCAAAAGAAGCCAATCAGGAAGTGACGTGATTGACCTCATTTGGTCCCCACTGAAAACGGGGATAACTGGGTCCCGTTTAAATATACTATCAACAAAGGAAATGGCTGTAAACATAATGCTTTGATTAGTTAATTAATCCAATAATAATGGACAGATTGATCATTAAAACTAATCTTTAGTTGCATCCATTGAGTTCCGAGGCAAACGTCTGGATCTGAGTGGTTAAGATGCTTCCATTCACGGTCAGCCATCACATCATCCATAAAGACGAGTGATCAGGTCCACATGCCCATGTACCACATTTGAGAAGGTGTTTGTTTGGATCATGAGCAGTTCCTTTGTTTCTCTACATTTTCCTCATTCCATCACTCTGCTGCTGGTTACTCGTCACATCATCTGTCCACGACACATCGTCCCAGAACTCCACAGGCTTTTGTACATTTCTCTTTTAAAGTAAACTCTAACTGGCCTGGAGGTTCATAAAACTCACCCCTGCTTACCATCTGAGGTTCTTCTGAGGTCATGCTGGTGTTCTCTTTATGATAGAGTCTGGCTGCAGACATGCACTCTCAGCCAGATGCACTCTCAGCCCCAGTGACGTCACGTGTAACATGCAGTCTCTGCCACAAGGGCAAAAGTGGCCCAACGGCACATTAACGTTTGGCTGCTTCTGCTTAGTGATACTGTCACTTAATCAATTTTTCATCCATAACACAGCTAGAAAATTCCATTTAATGTATCTCCCTGTTGATAAAGTCACAGAACCCATTAAAAGTGTCTGTTGGTTCCTGGTGGTGTCCAGTAGCCGCTAATGGTATTCTGTGTTTTCCTGATGGGTTTCGTATCACAGTGTAAAGGATTCTGATCAATTAACCTTTTTAACTCCGTGGAGCCACCGGTGGTTCCAAAACGTACTTAGATGTATTCTTTACTTCATAACTTTCATATTTCATAAGCTTCATTCAAAAGGTGGGGGTCGTATGAGAGCTGTAACTGTCTTCTTTCCAGTCAAATAGATGGGTGATGTCATTTTAAACCCTTATAATAAAAGAAGCTGAACTCACAATTTTTTTTCCACTGTAAGTCGACCCATTTTTCCACAAATCTGGGCTATAAACTATAAACAGATGGCGTCTCTTCAGTGATCTGCTCTGTAAAAATTATTTTTATATAAAAAAAAAAACAAAACACAAAGAGCGTCTAAAATCTTTGGCTTTCATCAGTAAATTGTAAGCATACAGCAATATGTTTATGATCATAAAACACATTTTCTGTTAATTTGAGGTGAGCTTTTACAAAAAAACAAACAAAACTTTACATTTATTTCATGCAGTTACTGAATAATTTGCCTTGTGATTTGGTCATGTAAATTCACATGGAACAACCAAAATATACCCACAAGCATAAGAGGTTAATCAGGTGTTAATCAGGTGTTCCAGTTACAGATTCCAGTTACATTTGTTCGTTTCCTAAATGGTCTCTAACAGCAACTTCCAGCCAATTCCCCTTAGGAAGCAAAAGGTTTTATTCCTAACAGTTCTAATCGTCTTCAGCACAGCTTTCATGAGTTTCAGCAGTAGCTTGTTTGTTTTTTTCTGCTAAAATAATAAATATTTTGAAAGTTTCCATATTCAATTACCTTATTATCAGTATGACAACGTTAACTCTTGCTGCCCAGTAGAACGTGTTTCGCTGTTTTTCCTCATAAAACCGACAAAAACACTGTCGTGGCAGAGCGGCACTGACGTCATCGATAGGCTGGCGGTGCATGTCAAGCTGAGAGTGCGTGTCTGCAGACAGACCCTTCTCGGTGTAACAGACTAAAAATCTGTTTGTATCACCCCAATTCTATTTCAGTTACACTTCACATCCAGTTTAAACTCCTCCTGCTAACAAACAAATCTCTACATGGTCCAGCACCAGCCTATTTAGCAGAGCTCCTGCACCCACACTTAGGTCCTCTGATACAGGTCGTTTATACGTTCTAAAACTTAGACTGGTCACAGCTGGGGACAGATCTTTCAGCTTCATGACCCCCAAACTATGGAACACATTAACGCAAACTCTTTGTGACTGTCCCTCACTTTCCTCTATCAAAGCTTAGCTTAAAACCTACCTTTTTCTCCATACTTTCTTCCTTCTGTTCACTAAAGGTTTTGTGTTTTTTCCTTTTTCTCCCCTCCGGCCTCTGCAAAGCGACTTTCGGTATAAGAAAAGTGCTGTATAAACTGAACTACTACTTATTTTTATTATTATTATTATTATTGCCTGTGACATTTACCAGATCTATGCTACATCCTGCCTGGATGGTGCACTGACTCGACCAATGGTCAAAACTCGAACTGTACCTTGAACCCTTTGCGCTTCAAGTACAGCTTGACCCGCCATGCTTCAAGACGCGTGGAAGACAAGCATAAGACTTTTCTCTGTTCTGGAGCCCAGGTGGTGGAATGATCTCCCACTGGCTGTCCGAACAGCAGAGTCTCCCGCGGCCTCATGATGGCCTGCTTTACTGGTACTGACACTTCTTCAGTCTTCAAAATGTTGAGAAACAACACCAGTCTCCAAGCTCTAACCTTTTGTTAGTTCTCTTGTGCATGAACTAATGTTGCAATGACACATGGCCGGGCCAGAAACAACTGAACAACCAACTGCCCAATTACTTATGGTCCCCTGAAATAGAAGCTCTGTGCAAAAGGGCTGTGATTTCTACACTATTCATCCAATACAGATTCAAATTAAAGCTGACAAGTTCCGCATTTTAACATCAACATCATCGCTTCATTTCAAAATCTAAAACAATAGAAACAGCGCCTCTGCCCATGAATACAGACTGCACTTTGTCCAACACATACAATGTTTGCCCTTTTTCGATTACAGCTGGACTGCTTTCATGCACTCTGGTAGATGTTCACATGCCAGTAATGTGACTGAGGCCATATATCAGCTGAAGTAAAACAATGAACTTTACCCCATCAACTAAAGAAGAAAAACAAATCAGGTTTCAGAGATAAATGTTGTAGAAATGTATTCTTGGCTATGTGCAGAGGTGGGTGGATTAGCCTAATCCCATTTTAAAGTAGACGTATGGGAGCATTTCACCTAAAACCACTCTGAATAATTTTATTTACATCTTAATGATTAAATTATACTTGTACAGAATTGTTTCTAAAAAGCGGTGGAATTCCCCTTTAAAGGCATTTATTACTCATTTAAAATAATTTCACTTCATTTCCTCAAATTAAACGTTGCAAAACAGAGCTGAGAACAGATTAGTTTATGTTAGTAACTCACTTCTTTTCTGCTGAGGCGATATTAATGGCGTCCATGACGGCCTTGACTGACTCTGTGATTTGCCAGGCTCGGATTGTGTGCTGCTCAAACTTGGTCTTCACGGATGAGTGGGAGATAAACTCCTGCAGAGACCACCAAACATGTTCTGATAACAGCAGACTCACTACAATAACATTACACATACACGAGTATAAATGACAAGATGGAGATAATTTGACTTCGACTATGCAGAAAAATTCTAAAATAATGACTTATTTTAGTTAAATTTACTATATTTAATAACTCAAAATTTGACAAAATGAGTGATTATTTTGACTTAAACAATCTAGGTTTTGATGAAATAAGTCATGATTTTGTCAGAAGTAAATTTTTTGAGAAAAGTAAATAGTTTTATAGTTAATGAAGCAAAATTTTGTGAAAATAAATTATTTTGACCTTATAAAATTAAAATTTGAGAAAATAAGTAATTGTTCCCATATACAGAGTAAAAATTTTGTGAAAATAAGGTGAAAAAAAACAGCCGATCCTCTACCTGGCATCAACTGGCTTCTACAGGGAGATTCACTTGAAAGAGGCCCTGAATTTTCTGTTGTAACTCCCGTTAGGATGAAGCAACCTGACGTATGTGTAATCGATTGCGTTACAAGCGATGCTGGAAGTGATCTGTTTTCTGCCAGACACATGTTGACGCGGCGCTCCATGTTCCTGAACGTATCGGCAAACATATCAGGGGGAATAGCATCAAATTTCACATTGGATGTTCTCCTTTAAATCTTCCACAGTGCGAGGGTTCTTCCGAAAGACTTTTCCTTTGAGCGTACCCCAAAGGAAGAAGTGTGGTGGTGTCAGATCCGGCGACCGTGGTGGCCAAAGCCCCTTTGAAATGAACCTGTTGCCGAAGAAGGACTCAATTTCTGCCATGCTCCTTGCATACTGTATACTGTACACCACCATCCTGATGAGAAGTCGAGTGACTGAGTGAAGGGGTACGGGGGTATGCACCCAGAAGTTGCAAACGAAGGTTAAACGTCGCGGCAGCTGTCCGGTGCCTACCTCATCGCTCCGACGCAGGGGCATCCCGGCTTGTTCAAAGCTCCATATACTGAGGAGCACACATTGCATGTTGTTTAGTTCAGACTGCTTCGTCCAGCGAGAGCTATTACAGAAAATTCGGGGCCTCTTTCGAGTGAATCTCCCTGTATAACTAAGCATCCAAAGTTATGTTAGTTTTATTAAACAACAACAACAAAAAAAACCCTAAAAACATATTCTGGTACTTTATCATGTGTTCTTTGGATGGTTTATGACTACAGGCAAGAGTAACGTCTTTGCAGCAGCTTTTCTGAAAGAAATGTTTTGAGGTGGTGCTAGATTTAAGTCACGGCAATGAATTAAGTGCATGGCTTAGAACTGCTGATCATGTACTATACTATACTACACTAGCTTGCTGATGCTAGGAGCCAGTTATATCCCTCTGCAGCTAGCTTAGCTATTATTTCTACTATGCTGTTCATAAGCCAACATTAGTGCTAGCATAGCTAATGTTTCAGTTGTCTTTGATTGGCCTGCCCATGATTATATCATATATAACTCAGGACTGTCTAGGGACAAAGGGCAAAGGTGCGGGCATGGGAGTGTCAAAAAGTTGCAGGGGTTGCTATTTAACCGTTGTGTGGTGTTGGGGTCTGTGGGACCCATTCTCAATGTTTACCAAAAGAAAAAATTGTGATTTATTATTATGTCAACCTCAGATTTCTTGGCCTTTGCTCATTTTCTGTGAAGTGCCTTCACTCTGTTCACCCCCTACACATTTATATCACATGTGGTGTTGGGCTGAACCTGCGGGAAATAAAAGTGTGGAGGTGCTGTGTCCTTCACTCTGTTCTCCTCCTACACGGCCTACTGTTAGTGTGTGTGTCTCTGTGTTTGTATATATGTGTGCATGTGTGTGTGAGAGGGGGGGACAACATGGACAGGCTGCTGACTGGCTACGGCTGCTAAAGGAGAACCCTACGCTGGACACTTGTGATATTTTAAACATCTGGTATTTTTACATAAATTGTTATGGCTGTATTGATTACAATAATGTGGTGGGTTCACCAGACCACTGAGTAACAACATCATCAATACCACACAAGGGTTAAGCAACAAGCGCTGCTTTTTTTTGGCCTGAGGCTAAATTCTTCTAGGCTGCACAGGTGAGGATTACATTTTGCAGGGAATGTTTGTTTAATAAAACAACCTGCATCTGAATCAGATCCACGAATGTGGAGAAACTGCAACTGTGGCATAAAAAGCATGCATAGCCCATAGCAAAGACAAGGAAAGGAGGTTGAGGAGCTCACCTACACAGGTCTACTTGTTAGCCCAGGGCTAGCTGAAGGTAGACACTAATTTAGCTGAGGGATGTGGCACTACAGGAATGCCAGAGTGGAATCTGTGAGGAAGGCCAAGCATCTCACACTTCAGAGAGGCAGCCACGGCAGGTCGGAGCCAACGCTACGCAGCTTTAGCAGGGAAGGGACAGTCATCACATCACAGCTCCACTTCTAGGAAAAAAATCTTTCACACATTTCTCGCCTAGACTAAATAACAAAGAGACGAGGGCTAGGAGTCATTTTTCCAAATGACGATTTTCCAAGCTCCCCTTAATCTTAATTGTTTTCAGCCGCTTTTCGTCCAGACAATGATTATTCTGGAGCCGGTGGCCTCACCTCAAATGTTCTCTCGAAGCTTTGGAACTCTTGCAGTCTCTCCTGGAATCCTTCAGCCAAAGCACCACCTATAAATATATTTAAAAAAAGCAAAAAGAACATGCACGATTTCACCTCCACAATACAGCCAACCAGTATACGAAACAAGAAATGAAGCATGTGGCAATGAGGTGTCATTTCTGTTTGTTTTTCCCCTCAAAGGTAACACATTAAGGATCATACTTCAAACCACTGACCTCGATGAGCTCACATATTATTTATTAGTATCTGTCCCACAATGTTTTATGACTTATCTTCAGTTCATCTTTTCTTTTTTTCCCAGCCCTCTTCCAGAAGAGCGTCAAGAAAGAAGAAAGAAGCGCTTTAACCTCTTAACCTGCAGGCTTATTATTCTGTAATTCATCTTAAGACTCATTATTCAGTCCAACTACTATAAATTATCCAGTAACTAGTGTGAAACTATTGTATAAAGGTTAGAAGTTAACAGTTAACAAAGGTTAGAGTTAACAGGGTTTTAACGGCACATGAACCATCATTCAGTGTTAATTTGATAGGAGAACTGCCTATCCTGAAGTTACAGTCAGTAAAACTACAAAGGCAACACATCTGGGTAGTTTGTTTGTTGTTCATGACACACGTAGTTCATTCACAGGCCGTTACTGATTAGGATGTGTGTATGCGGATCGTTTAGCCTCTTCAAATCCTTGAAACCACCGGTGGTTCCAAAACGCACTTCGTCATATTCTTCATAACTTTCATATTTCATAAGCTACATTCAAAAGTGGGGGTCGTATGAGAGCTGTAACTGTCTTCTTTCCAGTCACATAGATGAGTAATGTGATTTTAAACCCTTATAATAAAAGAAGCTGAACTCTTTTTTTTGTTCTACTGAAAGTCGACCCATTTTTCCACAAATCTGGGCTATAAACTATAAACAGATGGCGTCTCTTCAGTGATCTGCTCTGTAAAAATTATTTTTATAAAATAATACAAAGAGCGTCTAAGATTTTTGGCTTTCAGCAGTAAATTGTAAGCATATAGCAACATGTGTATGATCATAAAACACATGTTCTGTTAATTTGAGGGGAGCTTTTATCAAAAATAAATAAATAAATAAATAAAATAAAATTTATTTCTTGCAGTTACTGAATAATTTGCCTTATGATTTGGTCATGTAAATTCAGATGGACAAACCAAAATATACCCTGGAGAATAAGAGGTTAGGACACATTAAAGACAGTTTTGAGTCACTTACCTACACAAATATGAACCATCAAGTTAGAAAGATTGAATCTAAGCAAAAAAAATGGGAATATAACGATGAGGCTTAATGTGAACGCAGCCTCTGACAGTTTGGCTAACAAAAAAGGATGCATTTTCTTTTTTCAAAAAAAGACAGTATACTCAATAATAACTTTATCACATGGGTTGAAAGTTTAGAATCTGCAGTTGTCTCAACTTGTTTCAAAGAACTATGTGTGGAAAATAATTCATATCACATTCATAAACACAGCATGCTTTCATTATAGCTAGTGACTTCTGAAGGTTAAAGAACCTCGACAGAACCTAAAGGTTCTATACCAGGGGTGTCCAATCTTATCCGCAGAGGGTTTTCACTCCAACAAAGCAGGAGATCACCTGATGAAATGTTTGAAAACTAAGACCAACTGATTAAACAAGTAGAAACAGGTGTGCTCCAGCTTGGAGTGAAAACCTGCAGCCAAACAGGCCCTTTGCGGATAAGATTGGACACCCCTGTTCTATACCAATTGAAGTTCTTTCCTAGAAGTGTTTAGAACTATTATTTTTATAGAGTGAAGATGCTGGACCCACCAGTCTCTGGCATGCCCTGGGCCCGGTGGATCCTGGCACTCAGAGCCTCCTTGGCAGATACAAAGTAAACGCGGTTAGACGCCTGGTCCGGAGCCACCACCTTCAGCTCGTCCACCAAGAAACTGACACAGCGGTCCATGTGCTGCTTTCGCACCTGAGAGCCGTGGATAGAGGACGGAGACACGATGGACTCACAACAGAAGAGCGTGCAATCGGTGCATCTGCAGCTTGCAGTGAAAATCTCTGACCACACAGTGATTCTGTTAGGAGCGCGATTTATTAGGAAACGATTCAATGTGTCATAAAATGTTATTATATTTCATCATGATTTGATCTGATTTATCAATAATTCAATTCAATTACAGCTCCTTTAGAAATGATTAATTCCACCATGAAATCTCAAACTTCGCCGTGATTCAATTAAATTACAGTTCTTTTGGAAATGATTCACTGCATCATGAAATCTTAAATTTCACTATGATTTATTTAGATTCAGTTAAGATTCAGCTAAATGACGGTTCCTTCAGAAACAACCTGAGATTTCACCAAATCTCGATTCTTAAAAAAAAACAAACAAAAAAAAACAATTCAATGTATCAAATTTCACCATGTTTTGATTCTTTCAGTTAGAAAGCGATTAGTAAGAAATACTTCACTAAAATAAAATAGAAATAATTAACTGCATCATGAAGTCTCAGATTTACCCGCAGTTCAGTTCAATTCAATTAAATTACAAATCCTTTGGAAATGATTCACTGCATTGTAAATCTAATATTTCACCACGATTCGATGAGATTTGATTCAATCATGCTTCTTCAAAAAACTAATACTAAAATTTAACCAAAAAAAAATACAAAAAAACAATTAATTACAACATAAAATTAAAAGTTTTTACTTTTAAAAATACACTGAAAACACAATATACAGTAGTTGAATATAAACAATAAAAATAATACATCAAGCCATTTCTTCAAGCCTGGGAATTTTGTTTTGGGCAAAAATGAGCACAGAGATTCTCAACCTTTTGCACCTTAAGGCCCACCTGTTTATCTTTAGAAAGCATGAAGGCCCACAAAACAAAACAAAACTCAAGATTTTGCTTAAAAATGTAATTTTTGGGAAATCCACACAGTGATATGTGGGGGCTTCTCTTGCAATATGTGACGTGTATCGGTGAACATGAAATATCAGCAGAATATTGGTGCAAGTGGACAACAGAAAGGTCAGGTGTTTCTACAGCCAAAGAGCAAAAAAACTGCCAAAGCTGCCTTTGTGCACTGTTATTGTGGGGCTTGTATTAATGCTGTTAACTGTCAAACATTTTATCTTTTTTATTGTTAAGTCAGTTTCACTGATTTTTATGACGAAGTGCCATCACAGGCCCACTATAGACCACTGGCCCCCCTCAGTATAGATCCAAGGACCACCAAGGGGTGCGTCACGGCTCACCTGTGGTCCTCAGCCTAGTGGTTGAGAAACCCTGCTTTATGGAATATTACTAAAGTCGATTATAATGAATTTTAACATTCCACAGTCATTGCAGTTAAATTGCCAATTTCAGACTGACGCATCCTCAAAATTTAAAAATGATGTTTTGAATTTACATGATTCGAATCTATCCGCAGGCTGCACATGAATAAAATTACATAAACACAGCTCTTGCCAAAAGAATATCTGAGAGCAATTGTGCTGATTCATGTGTGATCGACTGATACATCTGAATTAAATTAAAAGCACCTGTTTTTAGGGTATCTGCAACATTTATTTTCACTCCTTCAAGGACTACCAGTACAAAATCAGCCTGCAATCAATCAAGTCAAGCTTTTTACTCACATCGTCCAGATACTCGGGCTCGGTTTCGGACGCATCCCAGCGGTTGTTCAGGATGAAAATGTTGGGCTTTGAAATGCGCTCGCTCACTTTGTGGAAAAAATGCTTTTCCTTAAAAGTAGAATGAAAGATAGCTGTGAATTCATGAGGATTACAGTCATAAATCTCTCTATCAGTGTGGAATTTTACATCAAAGGCGAAGATGCAGGACTAATACTGCAAGATCTTCAGTGTGGAGCAATAATAAAGCTCGTGATCGAGTTTTTCTGAGAATGCTTTAGGTGAGTCCACTCACTGTGTTCATGAGCGTGGACTCCGAGTTGGCCACCAGAACAAAAACATCAGCGTCCAGGCAGAACTTATCGATCCAGCTGTCCAGCTCAGAGGTGACATCAGTACCTGGACTAAAGGAACAGTGATACAACTTACAGCTTTGCACATACAGTACCATTAAAATGTGTGGAATCACTGTTTATTAAAAGTTACAAATATGTGTATAAAAATATTCTATTCTGATTCTACAACTTCACAGGTTTCAAAGGAGAACGGTGTAAAAAAACTAAGAAATATTAGACTGACGAACAGAGTGGTAGAGAAAGCTGTAGATCATCCAGAATGAAGATCTTATAAAACTAATATCCAGAATGAAATTCTACTAAAATTAATAGCCAAAAGAAGTTCAAATAAAATTAATATTGAGAATGAAGTTCTAGTACAATTAATATCCAGAATAAAGTTAAAATAAAATTAATATCCAGAATAAAGGTTCTACTAAAATTAATATGCAGAATGAAATTCTAATTGAATTATTATACAGGATGAAGTTTTAATGGAATTAAAATCTAGAATGAAGTTCTACTAAAATTAATATCCAGAAAGAAGTTCTAATAAAATTATTATCCAGAATAAAGTTCTAACAAAATTAATATTGAGAATGAAATTCTATTTAATATCCAGAATGAAGTTCTACTAAAATTAATATCCAGAATAAAGTTCTATGAAAATTAGTATCCAGAATAAAGTTCTACTAAAATTAATATCCAGAATGAAGTTCTAATAAAATTAATATCCAGAATAATGTTCTACTAAAATTAATATCCAGAATGAAGTTCTACTTAAATTAATATCCAGAATAAAATGAAGTTCTTATAAAGTTTAAATTTAAAATTAAGTTCTAATAAAATCTAACAAAACATCCTGTAGGCCTTATATTTCATTGGTGATCAAATCTCAAGACAGATACTTTATCAAGAAATTGCTATAAGTAAATAATAACAATCTTACTTCTCATTTAATAACTTTCCACAGAAAACAGGAAATTTAAATTTAAAAGCATCTAAAACACTTTTTGGTATCTAGCTTACAAAGTTCAGTCTACACTATATTATGTTTGAATAAAATGACAAAAAATACTAATTGTGACCACATTAATCGAGTAATTATAAACTTCTGAGCTCTTAAAAAGGTTCTTTGGATTGATGCCACTGAAGAACCACTTTTGATTCTCTAAAGAACTTTAATGAGTGGTTCTTTAAAGAACCATTTGTGTGAGAAGAACCTTGTTAACACTCAGAAGTCTACAGTACACAATTACATGATTAATTTCATAATTACGTACATAATGAATTACATTCACATACAATTTACATTCTGCATGCACAGGTGCAAGAAAGGGCACCTTTGGAGCAATGCCACAGAAGAACCACTTTTGGTTCTCTAAAGAACCTATAAATGGATGATTCTATAAAGAACCATTGTAAATTGCCACATAATACAAAGGTCCTGCACAAACTGAAGATTTTTGTTGAAGCCAAGAACCATTTAGGAACCGTTTTTTGTAAGGTTGCAAGTCTGTGTGTCTAAGACGACACACTGTTCTGTTTGGGCTGCATACTATAATGAAGATGGTGATGATTTAAGGGATATTAAATTGCAAAACATCAGAGTGAGCTTTCTGTGGTGAGCAAAAATTCAGGAATATTTTCAATAAAGTACACGATGAATCCTTTAAAATCTCAGACAGTACAACCTAACACCCCCTATTATCTCCTAAGGCATAATATTCAGTAACTACAAGGGCTACAGTGCAAACTAGCTGAGTTATTCTTAGGTTATACAAGTGTGTAACAGAAGTCTGGACCCGCTGGCAGGTCCTGGCCATTTTAAGAGTTAATAAACAAGAGAGAATTCCCTCAGTGGAGTGTAGAAGCAGCTCTGACAAACAGAGTCAGTTCATTAGTTACACCAGCACATCAGTTTAATCTCTTGTACAACATATTAAGCCTTGTAGACGTCTGTGTGTCTGCCAAGGGCTGCCAGAGTATGCCAGGCCTTATCCTGAGAGCCAGGCCTGCTGACCGAGGGCCAAAAACTCACTGGAGGACATTTCTTTACCTCAGTATGGACAGTCTGTCTGTAGTGTCTGTACCTGTCCATCAACACCAGGTCGTCCCTCAGCAGGGCACATTTGGTCTTGGGCCAGAAAACTCGCACTAAACAGCCAGAGTCCAGATTTCTGTCCATGTGCAGAGCGTGAGCCAGCTGATTAACCGTCTGCAGGAAAAAGAGACGGAGAATGAGACTGAGAGGAGACTCCCATACAGAGAAAAGGAGTCAAATTCATTTACACAGTACATTTAAAAGCAGCAAATGTCGACTAAATTTCAAACAATTAATTAATTAATTACACAAATTTACTTAAAGCTGCATAAATAGTTTTTTATAAAAACTGAAAGAAGTACTGAGTAGGGGAATAAAAACAGGGTCAAATATGGTGAGCGTTCACTGCTGAAAGTCACCTGTAAAACCTGAAATAATCATTTAAAAGTCAGAGGCTTCAGATCGGGAGGTTTTCATGCACGTCATGCATCTTTGCGCATGAACGTCACATGGGCAGGCTTCAAAAAGGAGGTCTGGCTTGATGCCTCAAATGCAAAATCAACATTATACTGACGAAGATATGATGACAAAAGTAGTCAATTCACTCACATCCTCAGAAAACACGCCCTTCACCAAGTTTTGACTGAGTTCTCTTTGAATCCTCTTTTGATATGCTCGCAATCATCTGATCCATGCGCTCGGGGAAGGGGTCCATCCCCCCTCAATTTTTTTTTCATTTTTTTTTCAAAATTTCTGTATAATTTTCTAGATTTTCCCTTTAAATTCAAGACAAACTGACTTGATTCCGAGCTCCTCGAGTCTTATTAGACTAATCTAGATTTTTACTGGTAAATCAATGCTGGCATTGCAATTTATTTCAATACTAGACTTAAGTGAGCACTCTGGAGTACTTCACCCTAAAGTACAGCACCTGCCCATTGACTCCTATTATAAGAGTGTTTTGAGTCAACCGGTTTTCGGTCCTTTTGGTGAGTACAAGGAAACACATCAAAGTTACTGTGTGGTAATCAGTTGTATACTTAATGAAAATCGACAGAGTAATCCTTTAAGCCACGGTCAGGGTCAGCTGTCCCAGTAAGAAAAATTATTTCCTTGTCTTTTAGTGTAAGTTGTGTTTAATTTCTTATTATTTCAGTGAACAGATCTTTCTTCTATTTTCTTAATAAAATTTTATTCTGTTGTACAACACTTTGGCATACACTATTTAATTTGTCATTGTCGTGGTAAGTGATAATTTGTTATTTAATTTTTAAAACATGCTTTACAAATAAATTTGACTTGACCTGGAGTGAAAAATAATATAAAAAACCTAACATCATCCTATATCGACAACTAGGACAAGGACACCATGGTTCGGAAAGCAGTTTGTGTTATAAGGCTGTATTTTACCTTTATACTTTTCCTCTCCTCGGAGTCCTCAGTTGTGAGGTAGGCGTGTTCTCCGTCTGTTCCCTCCACGCTGATGAAGCAGTTGGTGGTGTGGCCAATCCCACTGGGCAGCACGCGTTCCCTTAGCATGGCATTAATTACTGTACTCTTCCCATTACTCGTCCTGAGGAACAACATATAATCATCAGAAACGGCCTGAATGTTTAAAATCCTGCAAAATTAACCTCATTATATTTCTTATATTTTGGTTCCAAAGTTGTATTCCACTGCGTAACTTGCATATACTTACATAAAAGTTTCAGAATAAGTCCCTCTCTCTCTCTCTACACATATATATATATATATATATATATAAATATATATATATATATATATGTATACACACACACACACACACACACATACGTACGTACACGTACCACATATACAGTCAATGGTTTAGTTCCTCTGTGATTGTAGCACCTTGCTCTCATTTGTACAGCTTGTGGATTCCTGTTACTCTCTTAGAAAGAACTGGAGCTCCACTTTCCACTTTGCTGTTGCCTTTGTTAGTTTGCTGCTCATTGATCTATTCACAGGTCTCCTGCGAACACAGTCCAGTGCAATCGGCCAAATGTTTTGCTTTAAAAGCCATTTAAAAGCTTTGTTTGACCAAGAGAGCTACAATAACGGATTCTATTAGAGGAGCTGAACCAGCTGGGCTTCAGTCTGCGCCACTATGGTTTAAGGGTCAAACAAGGAAAACGCGTTAATGGCATTTAAAAAATTAGCGATTTTAATAAGCTAACACTAACACATCTGGCAGCCCTAAACAGAATAATAAAAATGTAAATACAAGTTCGATTCAACAGTTTGCACACTTCAAATTACATGTTTTGTGAGTTGAAAATAAGAACACATCCTCTAGAAAGAAACTGCTAACTTTACTGCACAATTTCTGTTTAATATTAAAACATAAAACATAAAATGTTTTATTTTTCCCCATTTTGTTCAATTAAGCAAATAAACAGTAATTGTGCATTACAATGTGCAGCAGTGCATTCTATGTAGAGGATGTATTAACTTATTTTCACTTAGAAAATCAACAAAACATCTAATTTGACCAGAAATTAGGTAGTATTCCTTTAATATTAGAAGCTGAATAGTAAGCCTGCGTGTTAAATTAACTTCAGTGCCCTGAGAAGCCTGTCACGCTGAAGTGTAGGAAAGAATAATGGCATTAAAGTTTTCCTTCATTAACTCAGACTTGCTTGCTCACTCAAGGACGTCTATGTGTCCACCTCTCTAAACAAAATAAACCCTTTCTCGCTGTGTGTCCCGTTGCTTTTGGCAGCACACTCATGGTGCAAACAGGTTAATGACCTATCCAGCTCTTGCTGGCCTGTTTACAAACCAAAAAGCCCTCAGCCTAAACAGATCCATCACCGCCAGGCTTCTTTTTTTCGCAGTACCTGCCGAAGAAGGCCACCTTCATGTGTCTGCGGGCCAGGACCTCTTTAATAGCTGCCAGTTTCCTGGAGCAGGCCTGGATCTGCGTGCACTGCTCCTCCTCCGCCACATGCTCCAGATCCACACTCCTCCATGCCTCTGAACACATATACACACAGACATGTAAAAACTCCTACAGGGGTCAAATGAACTCAACTTGGACAGACTTTAACCAAATGAATGTACTGAGCTCAGTTAACAGTGCTGAGTTTCCTGGATCATTGTGAGCAGTGGGTGGTAGGCAGTCTCGTCAGTGTCGGGGTAGTTACTCAAAAAAGTAGTGCATTACAAGTGACTAATTACTTCTCTCAATCGGTAATGAGACTACTTTACTCATTACCTGCAGGAAAAGGTACGGAGCCCCTAAGGGGCTGTGTTTAAAAACAAAAAAAGGTAGCTTAATGGCATTAAGTTCCCTCGCAACAATTTTGCATTCCTTTGCAATAATTTTGTGTTCCCTCGCAATGATTTTGCATTCCATCGCAACAACTTTCCGTTCCCTTACAACGATTTTGCGACCCCTCGCAATGATTTTGTGTTCCCCTGCAAAAATTTTGCGTTCCCTCGCAATAATTTTCTTTTCCATCACAATGATTTTGCTATCTTTTGAAATGATTTTGCATTCCCTCCTGATAATTTTGCGTTCCCTCGCAATAATTTTCTTTTCCCTCACGATTTTGCTTTCCTTTGCAATGATTTTGCATTCCCTCCCGATAATTTTGCGTTCCCTCGCAATGATTGTACACTCCCTCGCAACAGCCTTCCATTCCCTTGCAAAGATTTTGCATTCCCTCGCTATAATTGTGCATTCCTTGCGATAATTTTCCGTTCCCTCGCAATGATTTTGCGTTCCTTCACGAGTGTTTTACGTTCCCTCTCAATAATTTTGCATGTGAACGCTGATCGTTTGTGAGGGACGTTTTGCAGCACAACTGTTGCAACTTTTTCCGCGCCTTTTTTTTAGGGGCTCAGTAAAATGGTAATCTCGCCAGCTTCTCATTACTTTACAAGTTATTCTCTAAAAACAACACAAATCTGTGTCGACTGGCAGAGGAGAAGGAAAACTGTCCTTTTCACTATTTTATTTAGAAACAGTGAAAACCACATTTAAATATTCTGTCACTGACCCCGCTTTTAAACACACAGCCTGTTAGCCAGCCAGCTAACGACGCCAATTAAGGCTAATGCTAACGTTATTTGAAAACCGAGAAACTCGCCAGTAAAAACAGTTCAAAAACTCCCAAAACAGCTTGAAATAAAACCTTTATCAATAAAATATAATCTTACAGAGCTGTTCCTGAATGTAAACCGAGTCTGTTCTGTTTATGTGAAGTTTATCTTCCCGAGTTCAGAGATTTTTATTCATTAGTTTCATATTAGCCCGATTTTTCAGCGCTTCCCGCGTTCGCGCCGCTCAATTTCAAAATAAAAGTCTAGAAGAAATACATGTTTAATCTGCATCCTATGAAATTAATGTTGCTCCGTTAGAGACATTAGTAACACTAGTAATACAACTCTTATTAAGTTATTAACTGTAATGTGATAACAAGAATTCAAACTGTACACTGAAAAAAATTATGCAACTTTTTAACTAAAAAATAAGTAAACCCGGTTCACTTAAAACGTTGTGTTCGCTGAACTTCAAATAATAAGTTAGCAAATGTAGAATACTAATTATTACTCTGTTAACTTAATGTTAGAAGTTCAATGTACTTAAAAGTCAACCAGGTTTGAAGTTCCATACTTTGTTACAGGAGAAAAGTAACTGAATTGCTGTGAGCACTGGTTCTTGTAATAAATCCTCAAATTCAGAGGAGGCCTTCTGATTTGTGGGAATTTTTTTTAACCTGAACACATTTTGACCTGAATTTTTCAAGACCTGAATGTTCTGGACCTGAATTTTAAAAAAAAGGTAAACTCAGACTCCAGACAGTATATTCAAATATCAAAGATTTGCAGTGAAAATGGTCTAAAACATCAAATTAGGCATGTATTTTTTCAAGCATCATGAATTCAGGTTCAGGTTCTAGTGACACTGATTTCACTCAATATATCACTGTTGTCGGAAGAAAACCTTGTGTATCCATTTTTGATGTTTTTCAGTTTTTGACACATCCACGTTTTAATAGTTTGACCCTTAAACCATAGTGGTGCACACGGAAGCCCAGCTGTTTCAGCTCCTCTAATAGAATCCGTTATTGTAGCTCTCTTGTTCAAACAATGGCTTTTAAAGCAAAACATTTGGCAGACTGCACTGGACTGTGCTCGCAGGAGACCTGTGAATAGATCAATGAGCAGCAAACTAACAAAGGCAACAGCAAAGTGGAAAGTGGAGCTCCAGTTCTTTCTAAGAGAGTAACAGGAATCCACAAGCTGTACAAATGAGAGCAAGATGCTACAATCACGGAGGAACTAAACCATTGACTGTATATGTGATATGTGTACGTACATATGTGTGTGTGTGTATATATATATACACACACATACATACATACATACATACACATATCGCTGTTGCCGGAAGAAAACCTTGCATCTCCATTTTTGACGTTTTTCAGTTTTTGACATAATTGGAAAATACCTGTTACCCTTTACATTGTATGTAAATTTCATGATGAATGGACCAAAAGAAAGGACCCAAAATGACTTGGAAGAAAGTCTGGTTCCATTGACTTACATTAAAAGTAAAGTAGGTTTTTTCCTTCTCCAGTAAAGTTAGCATTTTTGAGGTATGAGGTTTTCTTCCGACAACAGCAAAATATTATGTATAATATATAAATGTGATTAATTTCTGTAAATTAAGCTCAGGATCTTCCTGATTTTTTCTGGCGTGAGGCCTGAACACTGAATGTAGTTTGCAGACTGCCAGTTCACAAGCTTTGTTTTATTAGGTTAAATTTCCCCACTTAAAACAACATTATAATGTAGGATAGAATTAAAATTGCAGCCTTTGTGATTTGGAAAATTACACTCTTCATATTTGTGGTTTTGTTATAAAAACAATTACTTGTTCAGCCCTACTGAACAGTCAGTCATGTTCACTCACCCTCCACAAACTCTGATCCCTCTTTAACAAACTCCAGCAGCTGGTCAAACACGGCGCTGATCGTCCTCTTCGCCACCACGAAATGCTGCAAAGGTGAAGTGTCCTCCTCTGCCATGTTTACTGCTGACAATAAAGGAGTCTTTAATGTGCCGTTTTGTCCTTTAAGACTAAGAAAGCAGTCTGAATAGATGGACATCAAGTCTAAGCATGCGAAACTAGATTATTTACCTTCACCTCCAACAGAGCAAGGCCAGACCTTTGTCTTCAACTTCAAGTGTTTCTCCAGTGAGTTTAAATGGGATCTAACCTGTGGAACATTATTCTGCTGTCTCTATCGTGTTACATGGATGTTGAGTAAGTGATCCTCTGCTGTCCGTTAGACACATATAGTGTGGGAGACACAGTGGAGTGTCTTTAGTCTGATCTGCTGCTCCTGACAAATGTACACAGAGCCTCAGCCAATCCTCTTATCCCGCATTAATGGAGCCTGTGGTTTCCTGCTGCCTGTATTCTCTACCTGCAACCACAACAACATTTACAGCAGCATTTTGGTGACTTATGTCTCTGTTTATATCTTACAGAATCAGAATATTTTTATTTTTGCCAAGCAAAGAATGAACAAAGAATTTCTTTTAGTGCAGGTTAACATAAATAAACATAAACAATGGCAATAAAATATAGATATGCTTAGACAAGGAGTACAAAGGACAAAATGCCATTTATTTCTAAAATTTTTTAAAATACGAAGTACACAAAATGATCTCCAAGTAACAAAGATGTGAAATGGGTGTGAGGCACACTTATATTTTAAGCTTTAACCCTTGTGTGGTGTTGGTCTGTGGGACCCATTTTCAATGTTTACCAAAAGAAAACATGATATGATTTATTATTATCTCAACCCCAGATTTCTTGTCCTTTGCTCATTTTCTGTGAAGAACATATAAAATAACCCATTTTCAGTGCCTTCACTCTGTTCACCCCCCACACATTTATATTACCCGTGGTGTTGGGTGAACCTGCGGGGAATAAAAGTATGGAGGTGCTGTGTCCTTCACTCTGTTCTCCTCCTACATGGCCTGCTGTTAGTGTGTGTGTCTGTGTCTGTGTGTGTGTGTATGTGTTTGTATATGTGTGTGTGTGTGTGTGTGTGTGTGCGTATGTGTTTGTATATGTGTGTGTGTGTGTGTGTTTGTGTGTGCATGTGTGAGGGTGGACAACATGGACAGGCTGCTGACTGGCTACGGCTGCTAAAGGAGAACCCTACACTGGAAACTTGTAATATTTTAAACATCTGGTATTTTACATAAATTGTTATGGCTGTATTGATTTAAAAAAACAATAATGCAGTGGGTCCACCAGACCACTGAGTAACAACAACATGAACACCACAGGTTAAGTTCAGTTTGTTTATAAAATATATAAAATATGTCCAGTTGAATATATATAGGCCTCATTTTCAACATTTCCTCAAAAAGAGATAAAAAGCCTCATCTTACATGAAACAGTAGGTAAGTATAATATCAAATCGATCAGTATTAAATTTGTCTGCTCGTCGCTATTTTGCATCTACGCCCACTGAGCTTTTACCAGGTTACTCACTGACATTAAGTTCCCCTTCAAAGAGACACTAACATTCACCCAAGTATATACCCACACTCACCTAAGCTGCCTTCAGATTTCTCTCTCATGACCATCTAAAATGGCTAAAGAAGAAGTTTCTAAGGAGAGAAGTGAAAAACAGAAGTTTCCAAAACTTTAAAAAATGATTAAAGGCTACAGAGAAAATGGGGCTCCTAACAACCACCTGGAAGAGCTGGTAGACACCAAAACTGCCCCCATCAGATAAACAGCACTTAAAGCTTTCATCTTTGAGAGAGAGGAGAAAATCAAGCTGCTTCAGATCTGAAAACATCCACAGGTGTTTCTGTCCATCCTTCCACTGTGAGAAGACGACTCAGCGCTGTGGGTCTGAAAGGATGTGTAGCTGTCAAGAAGAACCTCACTGAGAAAAGGAGACGGACACATCAAATAAAGAAGCTGAACGATGGACTGACCACCGCAGAGTCCAGACCTCAACACCACTGAATGTGTTTGATTACTTCAGAAAATTATCAACCAACTTCTAAGACTGAACTTTGGAGGTGTGTCTGCAGATTCTTTGAGAAACTGAAAGTGAGTCTCCTGTAAAGAATGAAAGCTGTAATAAAGGTAAAGAGGTGGACACACAAAGTGCTGAAAAATGTTATATTACATAAGGTTGTTGAGGCTTCTGTGTAATTATTCTGTTAAATGCTTCTTTTCTGATGCTGAAAAATAAAAAGCTGGTCTTAACTAATGAGGGGTGCTCTCTGATTTTCGCACAATGCGTTCGCTAGAAATGTGGATCATGAGAAGCAGAAATAACAGCCAACTCCTAAGACTGAACTTACACCTATACTACAGAAATGGTTGCTCATTGCAAATTGTCACTGTCCAAAGAAAAACAAGTATCTCCAAAATAGTAACTTTACAGGAAAAGGCAAAAACCCTCTTACCTTTTAATGTAAGTTAATGTAAAAAAAAATATTCCAAGTGATTTTGGAGCATTTCTTTTGGTCCATTCATCATAAAATTAGAAGGTAAAGGACAGCTGGTCTGTTAACATGAGGTAGAAAAATAAAAATCAACAAAAATGGAGATACATGGTTTTCTTTGGATAGCGACGAAATGTACGTGTGTAACATCATCATCAGCAGCAAGCACTTGCGCATTCATTGGCCAGAAAAGTGGACAATTTTCCAATCTTTAGCAGAGCATTTGAAAACTGAGGGATACCTCCTAGCCACGGTTTCTCATCAGCACCACCTGCTGTACAGCATGTCCACTGGGCGAGCTTAAAACACTGTCCAAGCTCCAAAAGTCAACATACTAAATATATCAGAACCATAATTTCATGGGTAAATGGTTCGCCAGGGGCGGTGCTGCATATTCATTACACAACAGCAGCACAGGCAGAGTCTTGAAATGTCCCGTGTTTGTTTTTACATAAATTGGCCATGAGATGGTGCCAGTGTCTACTTGCGTTTTTTGGCATGACTTAATTATGTAATTAGACTCACTGGGTTTTGAGTACTTCTGCGTTTAACTCTTTAATAACCTGATTTCTCAATGCTGTTAACACATTTAAATACCATAAATAAAGAATATGAATATATTTCTTTCTTTGATAGAACAGACAGATAGACAGATAGACAGACAGACAGATATATAGATAGATAGACAGACAGATAGACAGACAGATCACTTTATTAATCCCAGAGGGACAGTCATCTATTACAGCAGCACAAAGTACAGTAAAGAGCAAAACAAGAGCAAAAGTATTGCTGTACGCTATTAAACAGATGCATGAACAAAAGAAGTAAGGATATACAATAAAATATACTAAAACAACCATAAAACATAATGTGCAGCACAAACATAAGTAAGTAAAATCGCATAAATACTATGCAGGCGACGACACAGTGGTGCATGTCACGTCCAGTGAATGAACCGAGTGACTAAACACTGTAAATGAAAACATATGTAAATAGTTGTGCAATATGCATGGGTGTATAAACACCTAGCAGTGCAATATGCAATATGTATAGATGTATAAACAAAACTACAGTAAATTAATGAATAGGAATACTTCCCACTTCAGTGGCCTTTCCTTGGCTCGCATCGTTATCCTATATGGCTTTTAAAAATAAGGCTTTTATTATAGAAAAAGCTGCGGTCAGAAGGACAGAACTGGACAGAACTGCTACATGCAGTAAATATGATGTTTAAAGGAAAGAAACAATACAGCTTGAAATGTTTTGCTATGGTGTGGATAGCTTAGTGTGCTAGCTAGCACAGTAGCTAACTTTGCTGAACTTGTCAGCTAATCTAGCTGAGGTTTTAGTAAATTGCAGATATGGTCCCTTTAAAATGTACTAAAACTTCAAATGGATTAGCGATTATGCACAAAATAGCTTGAAAAGCACAAAATAGCTTGAAACAGTTGGTTAGTCTGCAGTTTGTGTAGAAAGTATGCTAGCTAGCTGGCATAATAGCTAATCAAGTTGAAGTTTTAGTACATTTTAAAGGGATCTGATTTACAAAAACTTCGGCTGAATTAGCTACTGTGCTAGCTAGCATACTAAGCTATCCACACCATAGCCAACCATTTCAAGTTGTTTTGTTTCTTTTCTTTAAACATCACATTTACAGCATATAGCACTTTAGTTCTGTTCTTCGCATTGAAGCTTTTTCTATAACGAAAGGCTCGTTATTTGAAGCCATATAGGACAACGACGCGAGTCGTATGAGCGATTTCATCAGAGTAACAAGGAAAGGCCAGTGAAGTGGGAATATTCCTGTTCATGTATTTACTGTAGTTTGTGACAAAAGAAAGAAGTATTTGTGTATTCTTAACTTATGGTAATACATGTGTCAACAACACTGAGAAATCAAGTTATTAAAGATGGCTGCTTTTTACCTCAGCATTGAAGAGTTAAACATAAACGTACTCAAAGAAAAGAAATAAAACAACTTGAAATGGTTGACTCTGGTGTGGATAGCTAGGTGTGCTAGCTAGCGCAATAGCTAATTCATCTGAAGTTTTAGTAAACTGCAGATCACATCCCTTTAACCTCTTATGCTCGTGGGTGTATTTTGGTTTGTCCTTCTGAATTTACATGACCAAATCATAAGGCAAATCATTCAGTAACTGCATGAAATAAATGTAAAGTTTTTATTTTATTTTTTAAGTTCCCCTCAAATTAACAGAAATGTGTTTTATGATCACACATATTGCTATATGCTTACAATTTACTCCTGAAAGCCAAAAATCTTAGACGCTCTTTGTATTATTTTATCAAAATAATTTTTACAGAGCAGATCACTGAAGAGACGCCATCTGTTTATAGTTTATAGCCCAGATTTGTGGAAAAATGGGTCGACTTTCAGTAGACAAAAAATTGTGAGTTCGGCTTCTTTTATTATAAGGGTTTAAAATTACATCACCCATCTATTTGACTGGAAAGAAGACAGTTACAGCTCTCATATGAACCCCACCTTTTGAATGTAGCTTATGAAATATGAAAGTTATGAAGA